ACACGCAAAAATGTTCAACGTGTATTTTCTCGCCTCTGATGTCACAATTTAATAAAATGTAAAAAAAACTATAATATATATAAAACAAATCTAAAATGTACTAATTGTAAGTAAAAAATTTTAACGAGAAAGAATAATTTGCGCCCTACTTATCGCGTTAAACTCTTAATTATATAGCCTATTTCATGTGGCAATTAATATCCAGTGCCTTCTATAATATTTCTATAATAAAAATATTCGATAAAAATATTTATTCAGAATAGTCAGCTACAGAAGACGTAGAGCTCGATTGACCAAATGAGGGGGAAAAATTCCTAGGGAAAAAAACACCGCACCCTCATTTCGTGCATCCGCGACATGCAGTTCGCGCCCATCTGTTATCTGGCGAAGCGTGATTCCGTCATCGCGTGCTCGAATTCGAGGCTGCAGCGCGTGACGGAATTACATCACGTAATAAGTCAGAGGGTGCGTCCCGTATATATACCTTATGACGGTTAGACATACGTACGCATCACTGATCACGTAATAAATACAGACTTGCTTTACAGCGCGCGTTGCGCGCGCTTTTTCTGTAGTATTTATACTTTTATTAATTGAGAGACTTTTAATAAGTAGAACTAGATTAAATTCAATTTTATTCGCACTTTGCTAGATCTAAGTGGATTAATTATATTATTATCTCTTTATATCTTTCTTAAGGAGATGCTGACCACGTCTGTTTTACCGGCTTTGAGTTCAAGGATTTTTTTTTATTGGCTATACAAATTGAAAAATCCTTCTCCACAATTAAAGTACTGATAATAATAAACGTGGAGCGCTGTAATTTCGTATTAAAAAAAACAATAAAAGTTTAAAAATTATAGTTTTTCTGTCGGCCTCTTGCATCACCTCTTACTAATACTTATTTAATACAAAAGTTCTGCAGTTCATTTGTGCACAAAATATGGGGCTCCCAATAGAGATGACATAAAAGAATAATACAGAAGTAATAAAAATGAGATTAAAAGCCTGTATCAATCTGTATATTCAATAAAAAGTGAACCTAATCTAACTTAAAGTCGGTAAAACAGAACTACAGCAGCATCCCCTTAATGTATTTTTTTCATATACTTTTTTGTTATAATAACTAATATTATTTTTATATTTTTTAACGGAGAATTCTGTAGCTAAAAAATATGATTTACTTATTTCGAAATTTTAATTAGAAAATTGGTAGCTTATTTCGTTCAAATTATGGTTTAATTCGCACCTGGTGAAATAAGTGGATTAATTATTATCCCAATATTTCTCTTTCTTAATGTGTTTTTTCATATCCCTAAATTTTCGTTATAATAACTAATATTATTTTTATATTTTTTAACGGAGAATTCTATAGCTAAAAAATATGAATGACTTATTTCGAAATTTTAATTAGAAAATTGATAGCTTATTTCGTCCAAATTATGTATTAATTCGCACCTGGTGAAATACTTTCACATATGAATTCGCTCGGTCGCGAACTTTTCATTCGTTATTTCTGGGGTCGTTATAGCTACACAAAAAGAAATAATAATCGCGACCGAGATTAATGTTCGAAACGAGGACGACGCGTAGGGAAGTGTAATAGTCTACCTCATTAGCAGACGCACACTTCGGATATCCTAGATCATATACATGTATACTAGCTTCGCTAGACATCGGGATAATTTACTGTACACGTTACACGGATTACACGACAAGAATTCGAGAAGCAAAGCAGACGTATAGCAGAGAGTGTGATTTAAATCTATAAATCTCATCTATGAAGCCTTCTTCGAAAAGAAAGTTGTAAATATTTCATCAGACTCCCACGACTGACTTCTGAAATTTCCTCAGCATATAGGTGTCTCATAAATAAATTACATTAGAATTCTATTTGTGTTTCGGCACGTGAATGTTTCATGATATTATTTGCCAAATACGGGTCAAATCTTATCCGCGAAAACATGCAAAAACCCACATTCCACGACTTCTCTCTATTCAAAATCACGTCAGATTGGTCGAAATGTCGCGCGACCTGCGAATATCCAATCATCGCGGACCTAAATCGATGGTTCATCGATACCAGCCCAATTCTAGCGCCAGTACGAAAGCGGATCTCGAGAGAGAACGGTGACAATAAAGACACAGTTCAAAACTAACAATAAGAATAATTGGCTCTATACCTTACTCCGCTATTCCTTTCCGATACGTTCAATAAGAAACGATTTGTAAGTAAAATATTCATTTCTAAATAAAAAATGCAATGGTGTAATTGTGATTTTTTTAATAAAAATTCTTGTAAATCTGTCTAGAATATCTGTAAATTTTTTTTTATACGTTTGTCTAATTATTTTATTTTGCATATACAGAATATTCCAGAATTAGTAGATCACCTGGTAATGGCAGATTTATGTAGAATTATTTGGAGACGATTTTTCCTCAGCAAAAATGTCGAGGCACCAATAATTTTTAAATGATAAGTGATTGAAAATTTTTCGCAAACTAAGCCTTGTGGGAAAAAATATTAACAAAACCACGTACATTCTTCAATTAATTTCAAGTAGAGTTTACTTTAATATAATTTTAATTTAAGGTTTAGTTACAAAAATACATGATAGCAAAAATTGAGAATATGTAAAAATCGTCTCCAAATAATTCCATTCCAAAAAATTAGTCATTATAGTTAAATTTTAGCTGTTTCTACATTACAATTTGAAATTAAGTTATCATACCTAAATTTTAGTTATGATAAATTAATATTATTTTTTATATTTTAACGGAGAATTCTATAGTTAAAAATATTACTTATCACATAATTAAAATTCAGGCATAATAACTCAGATGTAATATTGGACAGCTAAAATTTAATTATGGTGACTAATTTTATTCACCTGTTATCCTGCAGGAATTTGCTATTAACAGGTGATCTGCTAATTCTGGGATACCCTGTATAAAATAAAATTAAAGACTGTACAGAGCAACTTTGCAAAGATAATTATATAATTTTATGCGGATTTAGATGAATTATAATTTCATAATATGGTCACATATGTATTACAGCGTATATTATATTATGTAATATAATGCAATTATATTTATATAATAATTTATATTTATATTATATAAGTGTATTGTATTATGTATTATGTAATATTTATATAATATTTTATATTGATATTTATTATTAATTATGTCATATAATATTATATAATATAATATAGACAATCACTTGTTATTTATCACATCTAGAAATAGAAATTAAAATATTTTTAAATAAATAAAAAAAAATAAATTAAAATTCAATTAAACAAATAAATATATTTATATATAAATGTATTTAAAAAGATATATTCATAAATATATTTTTATATATAAATATATTTTTATCATTTTCTTAATTTTAATTTTAATTTTAATTTTCATCTAAAAATTTATTGCTTTTGTTACAGATGCGCGACTGGAATGGCAGAAAAGTTGCGCGAGGCGGCTGCTCGCGGCGACGTTGTTCGAGTTACACGTTTGCTCGACGAAAATGTTAAACCCTTGCCCGACGAGGTATGATTTTTCAAGTATCTTGGAAAATATGTGCGAAATAATTCGTCTAATGTTGGATGTTTTTCATGCAATTTCGTTTCATACAATTAAAAGCAGCAAGAAGAGGGAAAAAATTATATGAAATATTTGTCCAACAAACTTGACCTCAAGGAAAGTAATTATAAATTTTTAAAATTTAAATTGGTGCGACAAATATAGTAATCAAAAAAAAAAAAAATTAAATTTGCATTAAAACTGGTTTAACTCTATATAAACTCTTGATTACTCAAAAATTATGATTAAGTGCGCTTCTCCATATTTATTTCCTGTTTGCAATACTTATTTTCGATCAGACTTATCAATGTGTCTCTTAAAGAAAAATGTCATCGAGATATATTTCAATAAATTAATTTATATAATGAAGAACGTGTAGAGTATCGCAAAATGTTAAATTAAATTCCTCCTATAATTACTTGCGATATTAGCTGAAGGGAAAACTTTATTAACAACTCCGAGCGCGACTGACAGCAATAAATTAATTTCATCTATTAGTTAATTCACGCATCGCGATTCTCTATTATATATGTGTATGCGGTTGCATAGATTAGATTAAATTTAAAATACAGATGGACACGCAATTTGTTCAAAGCGTACGCGGAATACGAACGAATGGACCGTCTAATTGATTATCCACGCGTTTATTGAGGCTGCTCCTGCCTTAATTACGTCGATGAAATTAATCGACAGATTTTTTTCGCCGCTGTTGGGCTTGATTTATTAATCGTCATTTCTCTGGAAGACATTCAACATGCAATTTCGAAATCGCACTCTCAGACACTTATAATAAATATTTACACAACAATATAATTATCAATAGCGAAAGATATATATAACCGCAAATATTTTAAAAATTTATCAAATAAAATTTTAAAAATTTTATTATAAAATTTAATTTTTTCTGGTTATTATATGCTTCAAAAATATTTCTCTTATTTCCTAATTATTTATAAGAGTAACCAAATATTAATTTTTCTCAACTTTATCTGAGTTTATAAACACAATTAAAGATATAAAGTTTCGCAAATATTTTAATAATTTTATTATAAAATTAAATTTATTTCAGGTCATTATGCTTCAAAAATATTTTGCACTTCTCTTATTTCCTAATTATCCAAATATTAATTTTTGTCAACTCTATGTGAGTTTATATAAACACAAAGATATAAAGTTCGAACATTGAAGCAATTAATGTGTTAATATATTAATACAAGTTTAATTCTCTTATGGATAAGATGAAAAAAAGGAGCAGGAAATTCACGTTAATTTGTACCGAAACGATTATGACTCTCCGGGTCTGATTGAGAAATTTGATCAAGCGTCACCAAACGAGAAGATATATCCACTTTCGAATGTTTTCGGTGGACGGTTCTTAATTAGTGAGCTTTTTATCGAGCACACTTACCTGCAACGGTCGCACGAGGATGTTCAGAATTCTTCTCGTGTTTCAGAATGGCCGGGGCCCCTGTTGCTGGCCGCAGCAGGTGGTCACGTGGAAGTGTGCGAGACCCTGTTACCAGAGGGCGTCGACGTTAGTGCCGCAGACGACGTGAGTAGTATTGCATCAATCTTCTTTTATATCCTAAACAAAATAGAGAAACTATTATTATTTTCGGCAAGGACAGTAAAAAGTTAGCAATCTTGTTACGAAAATTTGCTATCGACAAAAATCCCTGAAGAGGATGGAAAATATATTTCAGCAGAAGTATCACATTTTTAATCATGACGTCATTTTGACGTTTAATGACGTCAGCTTGCTCTACTTGGGATATTATAATATATATTATTATATAAAATATATTTATTATTATATAATTATAAAATAAAATATAAAAAATTTTATAAAATAATTTATAATCTTATAATATATAATGAATATCTTAATTGAACGCTATAAGAAGAATGCAGCTTATTTAGCTGTACAGAGGGGTAAATTAGACACGTCATTCTTTTTAAAATAATCTGTCGTGAAATGTTATTCAGCATGGACGCGCAATTAACATAAACATAACGTCTTTATGGAAGAGTGAATTTCTCTTCCCGGACTTAAGAAACTCTCTAGAACATAAGTTACCACCCCTGTGCGTTCGCTCGGTCGCGGTTGATATCTTCGCAAACAGATATTTCTTATACAATCCTTGAGCTTGCGGTGTCAGGGGTCAACTAGAAACTCTCCTTCTTCCGACTCGGCGCATCTTTTTTCTTCGACTCTCTTTATATCTCTCCTCTTTCTCAATTCTTCGCTGCATTTCTCGGCTGCCTTTCTTTCCCTTCTCTCCCATGTACACCGTCTGCTTAAGGCAAATCATTTCACTTCTCGACGAGGGGTAATCTTTCCGAGAAGGAGAGAGGAGAAACGCAGAGGGAGAATTAATCGATGCTGAAGGTGTAGGTCGACGCCGTCCATTCGAACATACGTGTGTTTCTCCTGTAAATAAAAATCAAATGATATTAGATTCACTCTGTATTTTTTTTATCAACAATTTCGTTCAAATTGTGCAGCTCTCGCAGAGAAATATCCTTTTTTTCAATCCTAAATTATATAATAAATTCTTTTATTTTTCGTATGTAATTTTAATTCATATTAAATTTTTTTTATATTTATATTGAAATTTATATATATATATATATATATATATATATATATAATATATATATATAATATATATATATATATATATATATAGACAAAATATAAATAAATTAACATACTTCTGGAGGTAGATTAATTTGAGATCATAAAATACAAAAATATATTATTACTTCTTCCACTTAAATTTCCTTCCATCTGTTCTTCATTTTCTGTCATTCTTTTTGCAAAAAATATGTCGACCGTGACAGGATTCGAACCTGCAATCTTCGGATCCGAAGTCCGACGCCTTATCCGTTAGGCCACACGGTCTATTAAGGGTAGTTACCCCATCTATATGGACTCATTATTAAGTCTCGTGAAGGAATATTTTACATTTAAATATTTCGCGTTTTTTTGCTTGATTAAAATTTCTCACGTATTATTTTAATTAACGAAGAATTAAGAAAAAATTGTATGTAATGCAAACATTGAAATTCCAACCGAATCGTTGTAAATCATATAGGGTATATTACTTATTAGTATATATATAAATAGATGGATCAATAATTGCTCTATACACACACGCACTAAAAATATAAAGTGGAAAATAACCGTGATTAAAATAAAATTTTAAAATAATTAATTATTGACGATCAATATGTAATATTTATAAAACAACTTTTCTTGTTTGCTTTTTATATTCCGACGTGCTATGATTAGCAAAATAATTAACGAATGCATATGAGAATATCTGCATACATTAAGAGGGTTGGGTAAGTTTTTTTAAACTAAGTTAAGTTAAAATTAGTTGCTTATAAAATTAATTTAGTTAAGTTAAAAGTTGCATGAACAGAAAATTAATTCAATTAAAGTTAAGTTAAGATTAAATTAACTGAAGTTAAGTCAAAAATATTAAATTAGAATTTTGTTTGTTAATTCTTTTAAAATTTATAATAACGAAGAAATTTCGATTTTTATATAGAAATATATTTTGATAATTACAATTGATGACAAATAAATGTAAAAATTAATAATACTTTAATTTATAAATAATACGTTTATAACTTATAAAAAAAACAATACCTAATGGTATTTAGAGATAAAAAAATTAACTTAGGAAAAAAGTTAAGAAAAGTTTAAGGTAAAAAATAACTAATTAAAAATTTGTACATGAAATTAATACATTAAAAATATTAAATTAGAATTTTGTTTGTTAATTCTTTTAAAATTTATAACAAAGAAATTTTAATTTTTATATAAAATATATTTTTTGGTAATTACAATAGGTGACAAATGAACATAAAAAATAATAATACTTTAATTATAACTTATAAAACACAATAATGGTATTCAGAGATAAAAAAATTTAACTTAGGAAAGAAGTTAATAAGTTAAATCAATAGTTAATTTTTAAAAACATTATTTATATTAAATTAGAATTTTGTTTGTTAATTCTTTTAAAATTTATAGCAACAAATAACAAAGAAATTTTGATTTTTATATAGAATATATTTTTTTGGTAATTACAATTGATGGCAAATGAACATAAAAATTAATATAATACTTAAATTTAAAAATAATACATTTATAACTAATGAAAAAACAATAATGGTATTCAGAGATAAAAAAAATTTAACTTAACCAGTTGAAGTTAAAAACTAATACATTTTAAATAAACTAAGCTGTAAGTTAAAAAGTTATTCACTTATTAATCTTTTTTTTTTATTTTTAATCCTGACAATTTCTATCGCCACATATAATAACGCAATAAATACATCGCAAACATCGCTATGTTTATTCAAGGTCACAATTCTACAATGACGGATCATGTAGTCAGATACTTACCCACATCCCATACACACGCACACTTGGAAATGTACACACTTTTCCACGTGTCGAGTATCCGGTGGGATGTTGCCGCGAGGAGAATACACACTCTAATGTATTCACCCCTCCTATATAAAGAGGAGAGTCGGACCGGGCATGCTAATTGCCCCCTGGACAATAGTGGGATTCGACGACGACCTGTGCGATTCCCCAGCCAAGTCGTATCGTACATCGGGAATAATTTCACTTGATTTCAACCCACGCCTACACGCGGACCATTTCCTGCTTTCGTGTTTTTCTAAACGTATTATTTTTAAATTAAAGTATTATTAATTTTTTCATATTCATTTGTCATCAATTGTAATGATCAAAAAATATATTTCTATATAAAAATCGAATTTCTTTGTTATTATAAATTTTAAAAGAATTAACAAACAAAATTCTAATTTAATATTTTTTGTTTTTTTTCCAAGTTATAGACGCGTATTATTTTTAAATTGAAGTGTTATTGATTTTTTATTAATTTTTACATATTTATTTGTCATCAATTGTAATGATCAAAAAATATATTTCTATATAAAATTGAATTTCTTTGTTATTATAAATTTTAATAGAATTAACAAACAAAATTTTAATTTAATATAAATAATATTTTTGAAAATTAACTTTTGATTTAACTTTAGCCAATTTAACTTTACTTTAACTGACAATAAGTTAATTTTTTGTTTATAAAATTTTTGACTTAACTAAATTAATTTTATAAACAACTAACTTTAACTTAACTTAGTTTAAAAAAATCATTAACTTACTCAACCCTGAAAGTTTTTAATGTAATTAGAAATGTAATTTCAGCTACCCTGAAAAAAATATAAGGAATAATATAAGTACATTTATTTCAATACTGCCAAATAAATCATTTATTTGAAACTAATAATATTAATTTAATGTGAAAAATATTTATTTGATACAAGAAAATTTATATTCTTTATTTGAAATTGCAAAGCTTTTTAGTGCAAATATTTCAATTTTATATTGTATTTTCTTCGCGTGTTTGTAATAAGAATAATTTTTTTTAGATTGTAATCTGAAATTTAGTTATCATGCCTAACTTTTAGTTACGATAATGTTTGTTTAGCTATAGTTTAACGGAGAATTCTATAGCTAAAAATATTATCTATTACAGCTAAAATTTAAATATGATAACTAAATTTTATATGGAATATAGAAACAACTAAATTTTAATTTAGCTAAAGTGGCTAATTTTTTTCTGTGAACGCAAATATAAGAATTAGCAATTTTATGTCTTAATCTAATAAGATAAGTTAATAAATATACAAATAATAATTAAAAATAAATATTTCTGAATTGCAATATTAAATTATAAGACCTCAAAATAAATTTTAAATTCGCTCATTTGCAAAAAACATGATTAATTATGTTAATCGAATTAATTGGAATGTGAAATATTTTGCACGCTTTAAATCGCACGCGATTTTATTATGTGTATATTGCAATGAGTAAGCAAAACAGAATGTATAATTTATTTGACACTCACTAAAATATTTTATGCACCACTCGCCGCAGCAATGCTATCTCTATACTTACACATTTATAATAAAACACGAGTCGTAAAATCGAGATATTAGATTATAAAGTAATAAAATGCGCTGTGATATTATATAGCAATCACTTAATTAATTTATACTCCGATTTTAAAACACGCTTTGCATTTTTTTACTTTATTAATATTTTCTTAAATTTTTATTATTAACAAAATCATTTAAATTCTAACATTAATATTATTGTAATATATATAATTTGATAATTTTATTTTTAATGTCAAAAATATTTTTATATTTCAAAATTGCAAATATGTTGACTGTTTTTTGAAATGGTTGGCTGTTATTTTTAGGAAAATAATAAAAAATTATATTGCGTTTACATATTGGTAATTTAGAAATATAAAAAAATTGTTTGACATATTAAAAATAAAATTATACAATATATATATATATATATATATATATATATATATATACAATATATATATATATATTAATGTAATATTAATGCTAGAATTTAAATTATTTTGTTAATAATGAATATAAGAAAATATTAATAAAGTGAAAAAAATAATTTTAAGTAAATGTTGAAAATAAAATTAATATCAATTTGAAATAAGGAAATTTAGGATTATAAATAAAATAATGAAAAATTTGATTCCAATTTAATCGCGCATTAAAAAATAATTTTTGACCGTGATTATTTCGATAAAAATTGCAACCAAAAACGTTTATTAATGATCTTTATATTTGTTTTATTTCATATTATTTTGTTGAAATGTAATATTAATTTTTTACTGTATTTTTTCAGAATTTAAATAAGAATTTTTAACGTTAAAAATATTTTTTCTTACATATGATAAAAATTTTTTGATTTTTTCGATCGAAAATTAAGAAATAATTTAGTTGAGCGAAAAGAAATAAATCTTCTAATCCGTATATGTAAATTCGATTCTAAAATAGTCACATGGATCAGAACTTCTTCTCTCCGAACATTTTATGTGATTACACGAGTTCTATATGTATGGGTTCGTATCGATGAAAGGCACTCACGATTTTTTTCTTCTGTGGCAGCGAGGAAAGTGCTGGCTGACACACCGTATCTTTTCCCATCGTTCTTCTTAGACTCCGGCTACATGATCACAATAAAACTGAGTCGAGCAAGCCGCAAGAAGCGCCACTAATATTATGCAGTGGCTTGAGTCGCATAGCTTTTACGATCAGAGATATATCGCCTTGACAATAAAAGACAAAACATATCATTCCACGGAGACAAGTCGATGAGTGAGAATTCAATTTAAAAAAAAAGGAATATTCTGTCAATCTTCTGATAATTATACTCGACAAGCAAACTAGAAATTTAATTCCTTGCAAAATAACATGCAATTTAAAAAACAAAATTATTTTCTGATTTGTTATAAGCAAATTGTGTGATTATATATAATATATATATATTTTATAAATTTTTATTGCTTTATTAATATGTCATGCATATATTGTTAAATATTAATCGAATAATTTCTTTTGCTTGTTTTCTGATTATAATGACAGATGGAATATTAATTATTTTTAGAGAGAGTTTAAAATAAAAAAACAAATTTAAAATAAAATAATAAAATAAAATTTTGTTACTTGCTCAAAGGAGTGAAAAAGATAAAACTCTTACAACTAAGTATGTTATAATTTAGGGCCATAAAAAGATTAAATCCGCCATGGATTGATCTCTAACGATGAATCGTAAATATGGGTACCTCCTTTAGCATTCTATGGTGTCGTTTTTTATGATGACCAGAGAGAGGGAAACAAGATATACGGAGACAAGGTACCCTCTTGTTGGAGAATGAAAGATAAGACTTAGAACGAAAGAGCATCTTTGTACCTTTGCTCTTTCAGCTTTCCTCCATTATACAAAAAATCGTATATTCTTCTTTTCTATTGTGTGTATATGTGTTAGTATGTTAACTTTATTTGAAGTTAATCCCTATTATATTACAAAAAATATGCATCACATTTTACTCATCTTTAATATTTTTTTTCAAATTATTTAATTTATTTGCTCTTTATACTATGGTTTGATCAATTATGTTATTTTATTAATTATTGATAGTTACTAATTTTTATTTTGCTTAATGAACTTTAGCAGAATAATTATATATGTATCTGCTATTAGTGTTTTATATTTAAAAGATTTTAATTTAAGAGAAGCTTTAGAAAAACACTGAAAATATTCCAAAATTTTTTATCTTATTTTTAATCTTATTCTATTTGTATTAGTGTCTTGTATTTAAAAAATTTTTAATTTTAGAGAAATTTCAGAAGAAAATGCTCCAAAATTTTTAATCTTATTCTCAGAATTTTTTTATAATAATTATATATACATCTTCTAGTGTCTTCTATTTAAAAGATTTTTTATTTAAAAGAAGCTTCAGAAGAAAATGCTCCAAAATTTTTAATCTTATTCTCAGAATTTTTTTTAGAATAATTATATATGCATCTTCTAGTGTCTTCTATTTAAAAGATTTTTTATTTAAGAGAAGCTTCAGAAGAAAATGCTCCAAAATTTTTAATCTTATTCTCAGAATTTTTTTAGAATAATTATATATGCATCTTCTAGTGTCTTCTATTTAAAAGATTTTTTATTTAAGAGAAGCTTCAGAAGAAAATGCTCCAAAATTTTTAATCTTATTCTCAGAATTTTTTTATAATAATTATATATGCACTTCTAGTGTCTTGTATTTGAAAGGTTTTTAATTTAAGAGAAGCTTCAGAAAAACACTGAAAATACTCCAAAATTTTAAATCTTATTTTCAGAATTTTTTAAAGAATAATTACATATGCATCTTCTAGTGTCTTATATTTAAAAGACTAAAAATGTAAGATAATTTTTGAAAATCCTTAAAAATGTTTAAACTGAATTTGAGAATAATTTTGCTTTAAGAGATAGAAATCTCATAGAGAGTGCGGCGCTCAACTCGCGTTATACTCCGAAGTCTCCGACACCCTGTATACCTCGCAGCTTGAGTGCGTGAGCACGCATGGTTTCGGTGTATGTGCGGCGATGCTGTCGCGAGTGGCATAGCACGGTTCATCGACCAGCGGTTGTCCGCCGAGTGGGTACGGGCGAGAGCAGTTGTAAGTCTCTCGGTCATCCTCTTTTGCCCGGCCGCCTTTTTCCTTTGTTGAGCTACACCGTGTACCGTACATCAGTTTCTGCGGAGCGCACCAGCTGCGCGTTATGCCGATTTTTGCGCCAACAAGGAAGAGCGAACAGCTAATTTTCACCTTGGAACTATTTCATAAATTTAGCGCCAAGTTACAATATTACAAATTCAAGATCTACCTTCATTCAGATTTTTTAAAAGCACTCCAAGTTGATCCGAAACAAGAGGAAAGGAGCAGGAAAATTCTTGAAGGAAAAGGGATTTTTTTGCTCTCTTAATATAATAAAAAATAATATGATCTTATTCGAAGACGTTAAAATTTCTTAAGTAGAAATTTTATTATTCTAAAAACAAGATAACAAAAATTTCTCTTTAAAAGAAAGAATTTTTGGTGATTTTTTGGCTTTGTTAATAAAAAATAATTTTTATATTCAAAGTCTAGAAAGCATGATTCAACAAAAAGCAGGAAAAGTTACTACGAGGCGCTAAAATTCCTCGAGTAGAAATTCCACTTTCTTTCTAATTCGCTCTTGTTCTGACAAGAAAAAAGACCCAAGAGAAGAAAGAGAAAAATTCTTTTAAAAAAGCTGTCAGTAATTTTTTTCCTCTTTCTATAATAAAAAAATAATAATCTTTATGCAAAGTCTGTCTAAAAAATATGATGAAAAGAAGATAAAAATGCTGTAGGGAGTTAAAATTCTTTAAGTAGAAATTCCATTCTCTTGGTCTAAAATAAGAGAAAAATAATTTTAATTATTTAATAATTTAAAAAATAATTTTTTTGAGAAATTTACTTAAAATAATTTAATTGAAAAAAAGAGGAAGATACTGCGAGGCGCTAAAATTCCTCGAGTAAAAATTCCACTTTGTTTCTAATTCACTTTTGTTCTGACAAGAGGAAAGACACAAGAAGAAAGAAAAAAATTCTTTTAAAAAAGCTATCAGTAATTTTTTTGTTTGCTCTACAATAAAAAAAAATAATCATTTTTATGCGAAATCTATCTAAAAAATCTAAAAAATTTGATAAAGATAAAAATAAGATAAAGATGCTATGAGGGGTTAAAATTCCTTAAGTAAAAATTCCACTTTCTTGTTCTAAAATGAGAGAAAAATTCTTTAAGGAGAAATATTTCTTTTGTTCTTTCTACAATGAAAAATAATGATTTTTTTGAGAAATCTACTTAAAAAAATATAATTTAAAAAAGAGAAGGATGCTGCGAGGCGCTAAAACTTCTTGAGTAGAAATTTTACTCTCTTCAGAGGAAAATAGAAAAATTCTTTAAATAATTTTTTTGCCTTTTCTATAATAAAAAAAAATATTTTTTTTTAAATCTACCTAAAATTTTTAAATTATTTTTAATCATGTTTTTAAGAAACATGATTAAAAAAAAGAAAAGGAGAAGGATGCTGCGAAGCGTTAAAATTGAGTAAAAATTCGACGATCACTGGATTATTCTGTATCTTAAGATTATTCTGTATCTTGCCTTTACTACAATAAAAAAAAAATCATTTTTTTAAAATCTACCTGAAATTTTTAAATCATTTTGTAATCATGTTTTTAAAAAACATTTAAAATAAAGAATTTTTACTCAATTTTCCCGCCTCGCAGCATCCTTCTCTTTCCTTTTTTTTAATCATCCTACGTAGCAAGCTGACGTCAAAATGACAGGAATCCAGTGATCGAAAAATTTTTACTCAATTTTGACGTCATTTTGACGTTTAATGATGTAGCAAGTTGACGTTAAAATGACGTCAAATGACAGGAATCCAGTGATCGAAGAATTTTTACTCTATTTTACCGCAAAAACATTCCAGGTAGCAAGCTGGCGTCATTAAACGTCAAAATGACGTCAAATGATGTCATTTTGACGTTTAATGACGTAGCAAGTTGACGTCACAATGACGTCAAATGACAGGAATCCAGTGATCGAACAATTTTTACTCTATTTCACCGCAAAAACATCCCAGGTAGCAAGCTGACGTCATTAAACGTCAAAATGACATCATTTGACGTCATTTTGACGTTTAATGACGTAGCAAGTTGACGTCACAATGACGTCAAATGACAGGAATCCAGTGATCGAAGAATTTTTACTCTATTTTACCGCAAAAACATCCCAAATGACGTCATTTTGACGTTTAATGACGTCAGCTTGCTACCTGGGATGTTTTTGCGGTAAAATTGAATAAAAATTCGTCGACCACTGGCTTATTCTCTCCATTATGTGGAACTGAATTTGTAACTCTTCCGAGACACCCTGTAGCTGGAAGCCGGGCAACCTTCGATGAATACGTCTGCGTGTTTTCAGCACGGAAACTCGGCGCTACACGAGGCATCATGGCGGGGCTACAGTCGGACCGTGGCGGTTCTGGCGCAGGCCCTCGGGACCCAGCGGGCCCCGCTGCATGCCAGGAATCTTGCCGGATTTGCACCGCTTCACCTCGCCTGTCAAAACGGCCATAATCAAAGCTGTCGAGAGCTCCTCCTAGCCGGCAGCAATCCCGATCTCCAGAATAACGTGAGCGCTTTTTTTGCCTCGACCGTTTTATCGCATTCATCACGGCGTGGATATGAGGATAAAGAGAGGGATTTTAGCACTAATATCGTGCGAAGCCAAACCCCTCTCTTCTGACGGATTTCTCTCTTTCTGTCAAAGTAACTGTATGCAATGATATAGTGTGTTATACCGTTGCCCGCAACAATTTCATTATACAGATGATAAGTCGAGATAACTATGTGTGGAAATGAAGGCTAAACGTCAAATTATAATTGTAGAAGATAGTGTTAATACGATACGCCTTTAATTGCAACGAACATATATAATATAGTATTATTATTATTATTATTATTATCGGTTTTTGTCCTCTGAGATCTCTCTTAATCCTTCTGTCGATGATGAGTATCCAAAGCAATTTTATAAATGTATCGCCGTAAAATAACGGGAAACCTCTTAAAATGTAATGGGAAAAAATGTTCAATGGCCAGCAGATGCTATAAATTAATTATTGCAGTGCAATCTATAAAAAATACCTCGATATTTAAAGGAAGAAAAAATTATACATTGACAGAAGGGTTAAAATAAATATCTGTTAATAAATGGTGCTGTCATGAATGCTTTTTTCGCAAAATAATCTAAATTTTTGAAATATGTGTTTCTCAAAAAGGAGACAAAAGAAATGATAAATTTTTAATTTATTTCAGTATGGTGATACACCCCTTCATACTTCGGCTCGCTACGGTCATGCCGGGGTAACACGTATCCTAATTTCAGCCCTGTGTAGGGTATCTGATCAAAACAAGGTAATCATTTCTTTTTTTTAGTCTTTAAGAGATTAAAATTAATTAAACGCGATCGTCACACGAGCACAAGATAAATTAATCAAAAAATTATTATATATTTTTTAAATTAATTTATTAATAATTTATTCAGTTATTTGGTTAATTATAATACCAGAGTTGGGTAATAAGTTAATGATTTTTTAAAGCGAAGTTAAGTTAAAGTTATAGTTGCTTATAAAATTAATTTAATTAAGTTGAAAGTTGCATGAACAAAAAATTAACTCAGTTAAAGCTAAGTTAAGATTAAATTAACCGAAGTTAAATCAAAAATATTAAATTAGAATTTAGTTTAATTCTTTTAAAATTTATAATAACAAATAACAAAGAAATTTTGATCTTTATATAGAAATATATTTTATGGTAATTACAATTGATGACAAATAAACATAAAAATTAATAATACTTTAATTTTAAAAAAATTTAATTTAGGAAAAAAGTTAATAAAAGTGAAATGACTAGTTGAAGTTAAAAATTAATACATTTTAAATTAACTAAGCTAAGTTAAAAGTTATTAATTTTTTAACTTTTTTTTTAAATTAATTAACTAATTATTAATGAATTTGTTTTCTTAGAACGGCGACACCGCCTTGCATATAGCCGCGGCGATGGGTCGCCGGAAGTTGACGCGAATCCTCCTGGAGGCCGGTTGCGATCGAAGTCTGCGAAACAAGCAGGGTGAAACGGCGAAGGACATCGCCCGCCGAAAGAATCACTCGGAAATTCTGGAGATCATCTCCAAGGCTCGCAGCAAAAGTCGAATGCGTAGCAAGAGCCGCGAAGAGGACTTAGTAGACGGTAAGATAAATGACGGTGAAACTAGAGTCATTAATTGATTAATAATATCATCGTTATATGTGTTTTTCTTATCTATATAAAGATAAGATAACGTCAAAGTTTCATCTAGATGATCATCTATATAATTTCAATTAGATACCAGCAAACACTGGCTGTAGCTGACGCTTCATCTCATAATTTTATCTGACATTAGGTAAGGCAATGAACAAGAAGAGGGAAAAGACCGAAAGCGGCACAAGCGGTGGCGGCGGAAGCAACTCGAAGAAGGACCGGAAGAAGCACAAGACCGGCGGCAAGCAGCACAAGGTTCGCTTCGAGAAGGCCATCATGGGTCGACAATGGTCCCCTTATGGTTGCCACTATTATCCTGACCCGGAAGCGTTTCCGCAACCGCGTCTGGACTCTCTACCTGCCGATCCTTTAGGCCGAGGAGAACAGTATTACCTGGACCTGGCTGGTAACATTCGGAAGGGTCCCGTTGGAGTCGGATACACCTGTTACTGCGCGCCGTTCTTCCGTCATATGGAGGCGAAGCTGGAACGGGACAAGGCCGAGCTGAAGGCCCACATCGATCAGGCGCACGAGAAGCTGGATCTAAAGGTGGCCTGTCTCGAGATGAGAACCAGGGGACAGATCTCGGAATTGACTCGCTGCGTTCAGGAGGAACGGTCCAGGTGTGACGAAAGATATTCCCACTTCCAGCGATGCCTCCAGCGTGGCGGCAGAGGCAGATACAGCGAGAGGCCCATCAAGACGTGCCACAATCAATTGGAGATGGTGGTTCCCGCTCGAGCGAGGTCCCTGGAGGATCTGCTGGACGATCGGCCGCACGATCGCAGTTTCGAGATCCCTGGGGAGACGCCGGTCCATCGCGGAAGTTTGGATGACCTTGATATACCGGCTATACCCAGGCTCAGCACGTCCATGAGGGATCTGCCCTCCTCGAAATCCGGAACGGCTAGATCCGCTCTTCGGGTGCTGGACGTTTCTCCGAGGCTGAACGAGACATTCGACGGGGTCATTCGTCAGGGTGGAATCTCGCCCTTAGACACGGTACCTATGGAAGTACCTGCTGTGGAAGGAAGACGTCAGCAAAGGGTGAGATTGAACTGTATTATCGTCCGTTGTAATCTCATTATTTTTCTATGAAGAATAAATTTAAAAATTTAAATTAATGCGATTACTTATTGAAGAAATGAAAATTATTTTTATTGTTGTTAAAAAATTGTTTGTTTATATATAATTTTAGTTTTATTTTTATTTTATATTATATTATTAAAACTGCTATAAAAAATTAATTATTAAATTAATATTATTTCAAAATATTAAAAATTGATAAATATTGACTAATAAATTTTGACACATAAAAGATCTTGTGGATCACTCAGTTATTATTTCGACATTATACTTGAATATAATTTATTAGTTATCTCGAAAGAGAGAGAGAAAGCATTTGTGCAAATCAAAACCTGATAAAACATTATTATTTATATCTCGTATATTTTTAAGGATTGCACCTCGTACGACATGCACGCCATAGCCGTGGATAATAATAATACTCGAAATATCAGCGATGAAAATACGATGGAATGGAATGGCAATCGTCGCAGCGTCCACGAGATAATTAAGCGATTTCAGCAAGTACCTGATATGCATAACGGTTGGCAAAGGATTCTCTCCAGAAGTAACGAACAGGCTAATCTGGATGAATATACCAAGTGCTCGCAAAATCAGAGAGTGCATTCTCAAGGTGATGCAACTTCAAAAAAGATTAAAAAATTTAAAAAACACTATCATATGTTAGAATTAACAAGTTATATTAGCAAAAAATTACAAGTACAGCAAGAATGCAAAAAGAAATTATATATAAGCATTTTTAGAAGATTCAGTTAATTTAGAGGAAAAGAATTTTATTTAGATCGGATTAATAAGCTAGTTCAGTTGAGAAAGAAAAATGAAAGAGATATACTTGTCCTTCAAAAATTAAATTACGTTGCGTTAAAATATAAAGTTTTTTGCCATCTCTTGAAAACAATTTTAATATTTTTAAGAAAATTAAATCTTTCGAAAAGATACTTTCAAATCGAACTGATCCATCTTAAATGACACCGAAATGATATTACAGATAATGACAGCGAGAGCAGCGAGGGAGAAGGCGACGATGCCGAACAACCCGAGGCATACAAGGACGCGAATTGTAGAAAAAATATTCCCGAAGATGTGCACTACGACAGTATCGCGAGGATGCCTTACAGATCACGCAATCCTGTATACAGTCCGACACCGCCTTTGCACGATACCCATAACGACTCTGGATACAGCACTCGCATGTACGGCTCCAGCAAAGGCGCTTCGCCTTCGTTGTCAGGTATAAATGACGAAGAATGACACCAGTAATTTTTATGTAAAAAATATTACAAAATTTGTCATTTATTAATTAAATGGGTTAACCCTTCTGTCAATGAAAAAAGAATCGCATATGTCAAAGACATCCGTTTAAGTAGCAAACTGCAGTGTAAAAAAATATGAAATATTACATAGAAATATGTAAAATTACATAAATTTATTATTTACACACATACACTGTAAACAATATGTAATATTGCATAAAATATGTAATATTACAAAAATATGTAATATTACATAAAAATAAGTATGTAAAATTACATAAATAATAAGTGTAAAAGTACACGATAAATAATGAAAAGCTATACATTTTCATCATTTATCGTGTAATTTTACACTTATTATTTATGTAATTTTACATATCTTTATGTAATATTATTATATATATTTTTTACAGTATGACGTCAAAATGACGTGTGTTTGCTACCTGGGATACATTGAAAAATCGATAGTAAGTTTAATTATAATTGCAACCAGGGATGGGCAAGTTAATGATATTTTAAAAATTAAGTTTAAATTAAAATTAGTTGCTTATAAAATTAATTTAGTTAAGTTAAAAGTTTGCATGAACAAAAAATTAACTTAAAGTTAAGTTAAGATTAAATTAACTGAAGTTAAATCAAAAGTTAATTTTCGAAAACATTATTTATATTAAATTAGAATTTTGTTTAATTCTTTTAAAATTTATAATAATAAATAACAAAGAAATTTTGATCTTTATATAGAAATATATTTTATGATGATTACAATTGATGACAAATGAACATAAAAATTAATAATAGGTACTTTAATTTAAAAATAATACGTTTATAACTTATAAAAATACAATAATAGTATTTAGAGATGAAAAAATTTAACTTAAGAAAAAAGTTAATAAATTTATAAGATCAAAAATAACTAGTTGAAATTAAAAATTAATACATTTTAAATTAACTAAGCTAAGTTAAAAGTTATTAATTATTTAACTTTTTTTAACTTTTAACTAGTTATTACCCAACTCTGATTGCAACTCAAGATTAGGTTCTACCATAAAAATGTTTCAGAAGGAAGATATTCTAAAAAAAGTATTATTTTATTTTCTGCGCAGGTCAGCTAGAATGCGACGTGATTCTACCACCTTCGACAGGAACATTCACGAATGGGGAACATCTCGCAGCTTTGCTGGAGCAGCCAAGGGGACACGATTTAACAGTTTACGAGCGAAATGCCGATAATGTTGTCATCAACATTGGAACTGCCAGTCTAGTTTAGCGCAGCCAAACATAGCTTCGACCGAAAATGACAAAATTTTAAATATACATGTATAATTCATAATTATATGTTACAGTGTACATATATAAAATATATATACATAGGTTGCTCTAGACTATAGAGATGTTTAAGCTATTTTATTGTCCAATATCGTCGTTACATAAGTGTCATATCCGTCCGTATTGCCATGATTTTATTTTACACAGAAATAGAAATAAATACTATAAAATAAGAGAAACTATTAAATATTTATTATTATTTGTGTAATATATGTGAATTTTGTAATGTAAAAAAAAGTAGACATAACAAGATTATCAAAACAATTATAATACAGAATCACAGCTAATCTAACCGACACTCCCGACTAATTTTCTGCCTAAAAATTTCAACTTACCTCTATTATTTAATTCCAAATATATATAATTCTCTTATATTTTTTTTATTCATATATAAAGCTTGCTTAATTTTTTAACTTTATGTGATTATCATTCGTTGATTCTATTATAATAATATCTTATAAAATGTTTGTGCATTTTTTGGATGCCATCATATTTTCTCTACAATCTTAAATTTTTATAATTATTAGAATATATTCGAGATTAAATTTTTTTACATGCAGACTATTATTTTTTCTAATATTATTACTTTTCCTAATATTAGTTTTCTTAAAACAGAATATTATTTACATTATTGACGCTTTTCCGCAATGCTAATTGGCTGTTTCAAAGATTTTCAATATATGTATGAATGAATTTTATTTTTAAAATAATTTTATATTTTTTGCATATTTATCTACAAAAATAGGGAATAATTTCTAAAATAGAAAAAAAAATTTAAACAGTGTTAATTTCTTATTTTTTATTAAGAAAATTAATCTCAACTTAAAATAAAAATTTATGAATTTAAATGATATTTACATACACAATCATACAAATAAATCTTTTTATTATTACACTTTAAATAATTCTAGTAACATTTTTTTATGAGTAGAAAAAGAGATGTTTAGACTAATTATTTTAATATGAATTAAATCTCTTCGTTCACATACACACATTATAATTTAATACTTATAATTAATAATAGGATTATAATTAATAATCTTCATTTTCAAATCACACATAAATATGCGTCTCAAGTAACATCTATTAAGGAACATGAAGACATCTAAAGATATTTTAAAATATCTAAAAGATGATAAAGAGATCTTTTCGATACAGGTTTTAAAACATGCTTGTTGTCTGCATGAATTATTACCTTGACTGGAACGAAATACTTACGAAAAAACTATTAATCAATCGATGTGAAATCGAGAGTTTCGAGGTCCTTGAATTTAATTGCTGATTTGCGAATTCGGCGTAACTTACGTCTGCGATTTACAAAACCGATTGCTTGTTGTGACCTTCGAACACAGTATATCTTCTATCTAAAACCGGTATGGGTTTGATTCAATATCAAATTTTTGCATCACTTCTATTACACGATCGTATAGGAGAGTTTTTGCATCGATGGCCCATATAAAATCAAGATGAGTAAACAGTGTGTACGAATTTTTCTCTATAAGGATAGCATTTGGCAACTGTTTATATAACTGGAGAGGATTCTAAAAAATAAATAAATAAATAAAAATGATAAAGCTAGAAATAATAATTTTTTAAATGTAAACTAAATATAACAATTCTCATACACACACATACACTGTAAACAATATGTAATATTGCATAAAATATGTAAATTACATATGTAATATTACATTAAATATGTAAATTACATATGTAATATTACAAAAATATGTAATATTACATAAAATAAGTATGTAAAATTATATAAATAATAAATGTAAAAGTACACGATAAATAATGAAAAGCTATACATTTTCATCATTTATCGTGTAATTGTACACTTATTATTTATGTAATTTTACATATTTTTATGTAATATTACATATTTTTTTACAGTGTAACGCTAAAAATATGAGCAATATATAAAATATATAAAATCACATAAATATTTTGTTAAACATATTTTTGAACAAAATTATTTTTTTAAATTAAATTTGAAAGTATTGAAAAGTAAAACTTACATTCATAGTGATTAAATCGTTGGCACCATAAAACAAAGCTAAGGGAGCAGTGACTTTTTTTAAATTATATTTCATAGGTGTTGCCTGTTTATATCGCTTGTTATTACCCAGATATCCGTAATCGAAATCTTGAAAATCACCTACAAGAATCAATCATGTTAATAATCGATCATACACATGTAAAACATGTATGTGATTAGAGAAATAATAATAAAATAAAATATATGATAGTATATAATTGATAGAAATTGTAAGTTTTAATATACATTATTAATAAAGATTTGTAAGAATAAAATATTAATAATATTTAAGAGATACACATACCGTGAATTCTTTTCTTTATAATTAAAATTGTTTAAAAAAATACGTACCTGTAATAACATTTTGAAGGTAATGCAATAAATTTTTCTTCGAAGTACCGGCCGGAAAATGTGAAAATATTTCTGTTATTATTGTCTGCAATATTTTTATTAAAAAAGCTTAAAATACATTTTTTATGACATATCTAAAAATCTTATATTTTATGATCTTTTTTTATTATCAAAAAAATTAAAACAGTCACAAATTAAATTTCAGTTAAATTAAAATTAGCAAATTTATTCTAAAATTAGAAATACACGGTATAACTTACGGTATTAAGTTGTGCCGGATCGGATCCTGCGATTGAGAATAATAATGTAACACAGAAAGCTTGAGTAATTACATTATTATCTGGACACAATAATCTTCCTGCCGTGATGGATGTCGATGATAACGAAAATAATTCATTTATATCATGAATATCGAGAAATTCCTAGATACAACAAATAGAAAAAATATAAACATTAGATTTATAGAAACTATGTAATAGGCATCTGATATATTACAAATAAAATAATATTATAAATAATATAATAATATAATATAATATTATAATATATATAATAATAATATTTTATATATATATATATATATATATAATATACATATACAAATAAAATAGAATAATATTATAATATATATAATAATAAAAATTATTATACATGTAAATGATATTTATAAAATCAAATATTTTGTAGAAATAATATTTAAAGGAGAAAAAATATTTTAAAAAGCAAAATTGCTTTGAAAACAGAAATATTTAAGATTTATAGATGAACCGATAATGTATGTCGAGCAAATACGAGAATCCGGAAATTATGTCATAACTTTTCAAACGTAAAAAATGGCGATCTTGAGATATGCTCAGATAATGAAGAAGACAATAAGCTATTAAGATCTTACAATTAGATAATGAGGAAAAAATGACATTGTTTGGATTTGAGTAGATTAAAAGCAGGATTTCTGGACAGCTCTAAAGAGAATTAAAGGTTTTTCGACAAGGCCGAAATGTCTTACTGCATACAAATAAGAAAAAGATCAGAAGAAAGAATACAACACAAAATATTATGAATGTTTTTAAAAAAGATTTCTATAAAATATTGCATAAAAACATTTTTAAAATTTTTTAGGAATATTTTAAAATTATTTAAAAATTTTTTGTGATAACATTTTTTAAAATATTTTAAAAAACTTTTAAAAATATTTTTAAAAATGTTTTTATCACTCAGATAATATTTTCTTAAATATTTGATACATATTTTTGAAATAGTTTAAATCTATATTCAAAAATATATTTCTAAAAATATTTTTTAAACATGAAAAGCGGACATAAAAACATTTTAAAAATATTTTCGAGAATTATTTTATCTCTTAAGAAATATTTTTAAAAGATTTTAAAAATATTTTGTGCTATAGGAGAGTCAGCATTTTAAATGAAAGAAAAAACTATAGAGAACAAGCTTTTTTTTTACCTTAACCTGTGGCGCTATACTAACAAGAAATTTGACTGAAGGACCCACTTCTTTCCAAAAGGCAATCGGTGCAAGACAAATTCCTAATTTTATTTTTGCATTGTATTCGGGTTTCGTGGAAAGTAAGACGAAAACTGAAGTAGTTCCCATCGAATGACCAATAAAATGCAGATCTTTGCTTTTTGTATAATTAAGCACGTAGTCGATCATAACTGGCAAATCTTTTACTCCTACATCGTGAAAGCTTGATAATGCAAATAAATTTTAAAATATTAAAGATTTTACAAAATTTTAATAAAATAAAGATTTACGAATTTTTTTAAATATAATTAATATTTAAAAAGATTACAAAAATTAAAATAAATTTAAAAAGAAGAATTAAAAAAGGGAAGAAGAAAAATATGTATGATAATTATACAAATAATTTAAGAGAATATAAAGATTTAATGACAAATTTTTAAAGGACGTATTTTTAAAATTATAATAATTAAATGAAATTTTTTTACCTAAATTGCCAGAAATTGGCATCACGTGGAGACATTTTGACATTTGATCTGCAATAAGTATTTCCTCTGTAATTTCCAACCCACACATCATATCCTTCATCAGCCAATAAAAATGCTGCAATACAAGATATAATGATATATAATTTTTTTGTATTTATGATAAAAATGCTGCAATACAAGATATAATGATATATAATTTTTTGTATTTATGGGAAGAGGTTTATCCAATTGTTTTTTTTTATACAAATTGCAAAATTTGTTTTGCGCGCAAGAAAATTATGTAACATTGTGCATTTATGTAATTATGAGTAAAATCTCAGAATTCACATTTTTTAATGGATTATTTCATCTATTTTGAATAAGCAGAGAGATTAAATAAATATTTTAACTAAGAATATTGATAATAACTCGTAATAAAATAATATAATATTATGCATTTTTTTATATACTCACAATTAAAGTAACATTAAAATAACAACTCCTAGAAAAAATTTTTTATATATAATTATATATAAATAATTGTATAATTATACATATAATCATAAAAGTATATGTAAAATATGTCCATTTTTATACATAATTATAGAGTTCATATATATAATCATGTCAAATTATATATGAAACATATATATTTATATATATGAAAAAATATTTATATTTATTATATATATATACATATATATATATATATATATATATAAATTTATATAATTATATATAAGAAGCACTTTTATTTAATTATGTATGGACATATTTCATATATAATTTGCGATTACATGTAAAATTTTATATATTTCTATATAATTTTATATTGTTATCAGAGTTAATGTTTTTTCATTTAATGGATTTTTTCATCTATTTTAAATAAGATTAAATACATTTTTAATGACGAATATTGGTAATTTTTAAATTGTGCAAGACGCGATTCTAGTATGTATATTGTTTATTGATATGAACTTACAGAGATCTTTGTTAGGACCCAACAATACCCAGCAATCGGACGAGCACAAAATACCGTGCATCATGAACACAACTGTTTTATTTTGATTTTTAGACAAAGGACTGCTAGGTATTCTGTGTATCTTCAAGTTATATCCATCTTCCGTGGTAACGGAATGTTCCTCGGCAGGATAGCCATGTCTTTCTACCAAACCAATCTGCATAAATGTATTTAAAATGAAGTTGAGACATAATAATTTTACAAGAATTTAATAATTAATATACAATAATAATTTTAATTCCTTTATATGTTAAAAATATTAAAAATTATACTATACCCTCTTATCACTATATATTGATTAAAATATTTCTAAAGACCCATATAGTACAAAATATTTTTAAAATCTTTTAAAAATATTTCTTAAGTGATAAAATAATTCTCGAAAATATTTTGAAAATGTTTCTATGTCCGCTTTTTCATGTTTCAAAAATATTTTTGTATATAGATTTAAACTAATATTTCAAAAATATGTATCAAATATTTAAGAAAATATTATCTGAGCGATAAAAAAGAATATTTTTAAAAGTTTTTTAAAATATTCTAGAAAATGTCATCACAAAAATTTTTAAATTATTTAAAAATATTTTTAGAATTATTTTAAAATGTTTTTATGCAATATTTTATAGAAATATTTAGAAATATTTTTTGAAAACATTTATATAATATTTTGTGCTGTATGAGATATTTCGTATATAATTTTACGATTATATGTATAATTTTATATATTTCTATATAATTTTTTATTGTTATATATAAAAAATTTTTTACCGGGTGCCATTAATTCGATGCTCTAAAAATTACAAAATAATATATTATAATAAGAACATTTTTGAAAATACTTTTTAAAAGTTTTTAAAATATTCTGAAAAATGTTATCACAAAAAATTTTTCTATCATTTAAAAATATTCCTAAAACCATTTTAAAATATATTTATGCAATATATTTTATAGAAATATTTAGAATAAATATTTTTTGAAAACATTCACATAATATTTATTCATAATATTTTGTGCTTAAAGATGAAAAAAATCATATTACACTTACAAAATCCAATGTGGTCACCTGTTTTACTCCTCTGGCTTCTTCCGCGTTTCTTATCCTTTTTATACCGGGATTCTTAGGGAAGAGATAGTTGAACAGAGTCTGTATTTTATCAGAGAACGACAGCTGCTCTGCTTCCGACAATATTACAATAAATATTATCGACAGGAAAAACAATTTCACGCCCATTTTTATTTTTACTCCAGCGATATACTTGCGATTCTTTAAGTGGCACAGTGGAATGTAGCATGTAGATGCAAATTATTTTTGCAATATATACTTCTTATGCTTATCTCTGTTCATACATCTCTGTTGCCAGAACGAAAATCTATATATATATATATATGATATGAGATGATAATTAAAACCTCATATATAATTTTAATTACTCATTTGGTCTTATCAAAGTTCAATCTACTAGCTATTGTCTTGTTTTTTTGTCTCACAATAAACAAAGGATTTTAAATCTTTGAATACTCATGAATAGTTAATATTTAATATTTAATATTTTAATGTAATATTTATAATATTTAATATTTTATATTTTGTATTAATTTAATATTTTGTACTAATAATATATTATATTTTTAAATTCTATTTATTTTTAGAAAATATTTATTATATCATATTCTAATTCCAGTTGATCAAAATCTTGAACAAAATAAAATTAATGAAATAAAATCAAATAATTTAAGTCTAAAAGTATTAATTTTAAAATTGCAATAAAATTCCTAATTAATTTGTAAGTTTTTGAAAAAATAGCTTAAGAATAATCAGTTTCATTTTAAAATTAATATCATTTTATAATTAATTAACAATAACAGATAATTTAGAATAAAATAATTGCAGTTTAAATTATAACAAAGTAATAAAAAGAATTCTTTGAATTAATTATGATTTAAAGAAAGAAAGACTTACTCGTTTTAATCCAGTTGATCGCTCGAATCCAATAAGACCAATTTTTCAAATTAAATTTTTTCCAAATTAAAGAGCTTCTTCTATATAAATTTATTTGTTACATATTTGTTGTTAATATTTTGACGATTATTGTCACATATGCGACTAAACCTGCGTGACTTCTGCAATTATCAGCAAAAAGTTACATATTCGTGACTTTGTATGCAGTTTCTTATCTTAATATTCAGCATATTTATCACTTATTAGTTATGCACATTTAAATTTGCCCAGAAAACATATATATTATTTTTGGATTGGTTCAACATATTTATATATATTTTTAGCTCCATTGTTTTTCCAGTAATTTTTTTAGGATTTATTTTTTGTCAAAAAGTATAGTTTTTATTTCTTCTGAATCAAATTGCATAATTTTAATTATTCACATTTTGAGTAAAATGTAGCACATTTTTATTTAAATATTTACTATAATATTTTTATATAGTTATTCTCTCTATTTTTTTCTGATTTTATTACAATCTAACAATAAGTTTATAAGATATGCAATAAAAGGTTTTGTTTGAAACAAAGAGATTTTGAAATTTAAGTTAAAAAGCTCTTCTTTATTTTTTATATTTTTATTTCAAACGTTTCAATAAAATTACTCTTATTTTTTTAGCTTGTAAATTATTTTAATATTTACATTAAATTTTCACATTTATTATTAATATAACTCATCTTTTCTATAAGAAGAGAGAAGCAAAATTTATATAGATTCCATAATTTTATTTTATTCTTTTATTTTTCTAAGAAATAAACTAATCATAATATTCTGTTATTAAATAAATAAAATAATTAAAAGATTTTGGACAATTCATAAAAAAATCGACGTTAAAATATCTAAAAAAAACCTTTTGTTCTATCACACATCTTAAAACAAAGAATAGAAATTTTGTTTCTGTTAATTGTTTACTATTTTGCATTTATATTTTTTTATATTACTATATATAATATACTATATAATTTATATTTTTATTAATCACACATACACACACTTTTTAACACACAAGAAATAAGACAACAGAAAAAATACCTACTGTTACTTTTAAGTATATAAAATTTGTGTAAATACACGCGAGTTCACATTTTTAAAAAATTCTCACTATTATACCTATATCATGTATAAAGTAAAACTGCGAATAAAGAAGTGCTTCATTCTAAATATATGTAGCAACCTTTTATACATAGCTTCATGGCCATATGAAAATCACCTTGATACTTCCAATGACATTCAGCCAATCAACTCTTATCGAGGAAGAAAAAAAATGCAAACTATTTGAATATAAACAAATCTTTGTTCGAATTCATTCCGAGTACTAATTCATCGCCGATTAACGAGTCAGATTAGAATCAAGATGATTGAGAACCCGGTTCTATTGTTCTATTTACATAAGGTGTACCTATAATTTTATCTTTTTTATTTTCCCAAATTATTATTGGTTATTGAAAAAAATGTTTGAAAACTGAAACTCATTCTATTGCAACATCTCTGAAAGGAGGAGGCGATCAATACAATTTGTGATATGCGTTTCCGCAATTTCAAAATTATATATTTATTTTTTGTCAAATGAGATTAAATATATGTTTTTTCTTATATAAATCACAAATGCTCGCGTTTTTATTTCTTATGTAATTCTTATCTAATATAGTTTTTTCTTATGTATAGTTCCTTCCCACCTGTTCATTACTATTCATGTAAAAAACATAAATATCCAATCCTTATGAAATATGCATAATCGCTAATTTTCATTGCATTTTTTTAGATAAGACAAAAGTAAACATGTATATATATGCATCAATAGTAAACGACGATTTTTGTCAATTAATTCAAATTATAATTTTACTTATAAAGAAAAGTTATAAATAATAATAATTTTAATATTTATTACCTTTATAAATATTTAGATAGTGTAAAAAATAACAAAACAATTTATAAAGTTGTATAAATATTATAGAAATATTTTATAAGATTGAAATAATATTTATAACATTAATTGAAGAAATAACATTTATAAGATTTAATATTTATAAGATTGAAATGCAAATACAGTAATGATGCAGGATAATTAAAGATAATTACAAAGGAGTTTGTATTCTGAAAAAAGTATAACAATGTAATATGTATAACATCATAGATATATATGTATATTGACTACATTATACTATATATTTATGGCAATGCAATTATATATAACTAATGATTTGACATGCGCAAATTTGGAAACACAAGAAAATGTGCATAAAAGAAAATTTATACCATTTATATTACATATATTTATATTTTTTTATAATTATATTAACTATATACATACATGCGTATATATAAAACTATACTATATATACTATATAAAATATGTCTTTATATATTATATATTAAAATTATATAATTTTATGAAGAATAAGTGATTTAATTCTTACAAAAATAAATTTGAAATGTAAAATAAAAAATTTTTATAATTCTTTTGAAGAATTATTTTGAAAATTGAAAACTTTTTAAAATTGGAAAAAAATATATGCTTATATATATATTTAAATTTCCCTGATAAAAAAAATCAATAGAAAACATTATAAGAACCGATAAGATTTGTAAAAAAATTTTATCATTTTCTATCGTATAATAAAATATCTATATATATTATTCTTTCGAAATATATAAAGAAATGAAACATAATATATACAGGGTGTCCGGTAACTAACGGACCAATGATTAAGGGCGGATTCTCTGGCCAATTTAGAGACAATTTTTCCTTAGCAAAAATGTTGAGAAGTCAATAATTTTCGAGTTATAAGCAATTGAAAAAAATAGGTTTTTTGAAAACTAAACGTTTTGGAGTTAGTCTAACATAATTACATTCTTCAGTTTAATTTCAGGTAGAGTTTACTATAATAAAATTTTAATTTGAGGCTTAGTTATAAAGATACATAATGACAAATATTGGAAAGTTGTAAAAAATGCTGATCTTTTTCGACATTTTTGCTGAGGAAAAATCGTTCCCAAATTGACCAAAAAATCCATTTGTAATCGTTGGTCCGTTAGTTACCGGACACCCTGTATATATATATATATATATATATATATATATATATATATTCATTTCTTTATATATTTCGAAAGAAAATGTTATCGTTTTCTTTTATTTTCTGTTATCAATCGCGGAATCAGTCGTAGAATACGATAAAATTCTTATAATTTCCGCTTATTTTTATCGTTTTGTTGGAATTTATCGAGAAAAAATGATCGATTGAAAATTGTATATTTATCGTTTTTATTTGTTGTTTTTTATCGATTTTTTATCAAGGTTTTTAATTTAAGCTTAAGGGGATGCCGGAGAGACGGCCGAACTCCGATAGGTTAGCACCACACATATCTAAACATATGCACGTATACACATATACACATGATAGGTTAGCACCACACATGTCTAAACATATGCACGTATACAACACATATGCGTGAAAATTTTCTGCACCGTTTTCTTATTTATTAGGCTTTTAAACTTATATCTAAAAATATACTAATACTTCTTCATTCAATTTCTAGTCGGAACCTATCTTATTTTGTATGTACAAACAGCAAAACTTTTATATTAAACAATTATTTTTTCGACCTGACGACAGAAGTCGATAAAGAAATTTTAGTTTTAAAATTTTTTCTTGTTTTTAACATAAAATCAGTAGGTTCCCACTTTGTTTCTGTACGTGTTTTAATTGTGGAAAAGCATTTATTATTTTATTAAACCAATAAAAAGATTTCGGTACAGAAAAATCTATAATCATCTGATCGATAAAACAGACATCCGGCATCCCCTTAAATAATTTTTAATAGATTATTTCTTAATATATAGGGAATAAAACACATTTATTTACGTCTAAAAAAGAAAATAAAGATTTTTTTATAATAATTATATATTGAAGAATTAACTTTGGAAAATAAAAATTATAAAATTGGAAAAAATATATATATATATTTAAACTTTTTTAAATTTAAATAATTTTCTAATAGATTTTTTGATAATATATATAACAATTAAATATATAAATTAAATTTACATCTAAAAAGTTTTTATATTATTATTATTATATTATTTATATTCTGATTTCTGAACTTATATTGTATATATATATGTACTAATATTTATTATAATATTTATTAATGTCAATGTTATTAATATATGATATTCTAATAATTGAACAAATAATGTGGCTAGATCGCTATATGATATATATGATATATCTAATAATTATTTTAATACTGGAACAACAAAAAATATACTATATAGAATATATACATGCATACTGGAACAAGGACTTCCAGATATAATATATGATAACAAAATTATAAGTCTTTGAAAGGTTAATCAATTCATCATTTTCCAATTAGCAATAATTATATTATTTATATTAATTTCCTTAAAAGAGATGAAAGATAATTATTAGAATCTCGCTATCTCTCTCGGATGGCGCATTTCATTTTTCTACATATATATATATATATATATATATATATATATATATATATGCACGCGCTGCAGCGTCTAATTTACGAACACACTTTCGGAACCAATTAACAGCGATTAGGCAGTGTGCTGATGATGCTGCGTGACAAACAAATACAAGATTTCATGGTAAATCGCGACAAATTCCGACTATCCAAAAGTAGGAGCCTCGAAAACACACGTTTACAACATATATATATATAGATATTTATATGTATATATATTCGTCCAAACATACAGACACGCGTATAGATTTTGGACAAGTGTGGTGGATGCGAGAGAGAAAGGGGCGAATGAGACTTGCAGAAATTCACTTTTGAGTCAACGAGATTATTTGACAGAAGAGGCTCGAGAGAGAGATAGGGAGAGCCGAAATAAAGTCAACGAGACAGAGAGAGAGAGTTATGTAAGTGTCGTGTGCAAACACACAACAACTGTGTCGAGGCTCGCGAGTTTGACATATGAGAGCAAAACATGTGTCTACTTTGACGTTTGCGCGACGTGTTAAATGTCAAAAGTACGATGACAGGTCCTAATGTCACACGTGGAACGTCGAGCGACGATGAGCCTTCGGTTCGCCCGCTGCTGTAACGTTTGACAGATGCTGTCAAATGCCGATGATCATGGCGCAGAAGGAAGGCGAGAAGTATCCCCTTCACAGATGTATATTTCAAGGCAGTGTGAAGACGCTCAGCTCTTTAATTAAGAAACATGATATTGCCGAAAAGGATAAACAAGGTACCATCTTGTCATATTTTCATCAATATACACCATATTGCAGCAATTATATACACATATATATATATATATATATATGTGTGTGTGTCAATGTAATATATATTAATATCAATATGATATATTATATATTCCATCGATAGTTTTTATTGACCACCTGGTATGCAGGAGAAAATTATTAGACACTGCAAAGACTGAGCGATGTAGGGTAGCTTCCTATTTATTTAGCTCGTTGCATTCTTTGTTCCAGGGAACACACCTTTGCATTTAGCTGTGATGTTAGGAAGAAAAGGTAAGGAAATCCTTCTGTAACAGTTTGCATTTCGACATTAGTATTTATACTCTGTATATCAGATACGTAACGCAAGTTAATTGTGTAAAATTTATCAAGATTCCTTGAGATGTTTAATCAGATATTTAATTTGAGAGAACTAATGCCATTATTTGAAATGGATAAGTAAATTGGTTTAACATGTATTTTTGTTTTATGTTATAGAATGTGTTCAATTATTGCTTGCACATGGTGCACCTGTAAAAGTGAAGAATTTAGCTGGCTGGAGTCCATTGGCCGAAGCAATCAGTTACGGAGATAGGCAAACCAGTGCGTATAATATTAAAGCTTGACTTAATATGCCTCTTATTTTAATAAATATTATAGAATGTTGAAGAGAGACCTTTAAAGCTTAGATTTAAATCTTTTTCATTCTGTATACTTTATTATATGCAACAATTTGTGTCAATCAATATTTTTCTATTGATAGCGAACATTGAAAGCATTAATTGCTTAAATAAATTAGACAAACATTTTAATACAGAGAAATATAAAACTAGTTTTTTAGCTTCTGAAATAATTGAGAAATGATCTAATCATAGTGATTTACTCTATGTTTCATTATATGTATAATTACAATGCGTAAGATCTCAGAGTTGTAATATGTATAATTTTCTTCGCAGTATCATCTTTAGTGCGAAAATTGAAGCAACAAACGAGGGAACAGATGGAAGAAAGGAGGCCAAATCTAGTTGCTGCATTGCATCAAATGGGCGATTTTTATATGGAATTAAAATGGGATTTTCAAAGCTGGGGTAAGTTTTCCATGCACTGCTTTATGTCTTTAATTGCGTGATTATTTTCGTTGCAGAATTACATTGTTTATCATGGTGCACGCACCTGGAAAGGTGGAAAGCAACAATCGAGATGTTTGCTTCCGCGAATATGGCACCTCAATTTTTCCTTAGCACTCTTTTTCATCACAGTATTACTTTTGCTTTGATGTAAATTATTTTCTCTGGATTAACACCGAACTGAATAATTTATATCTCTCTTTGCACTTTTTTTTACAAAAATTTATATTTATATATAAATATTTAATGTTTTTTTTTTTAATTTTTAAATAACACTGTGTGTGTATGTGGAAATGTCTTGGAAGTTGTTAATTTTATTCAAAATTATTCAGATTTAAAACTATAAATAATTATTTATTTTTATCAGCTTTTTTTTATTAAAAATTAAAAACATGTTTTACTTTTTTCTTTAAAAAAAAAAAATTATATTGAATAATTGGAAAGAAAGCAAAGGAATAAAAGAAGAAATTTAGACATTTGAATGTTTTGGCAGAAAAGGCTTTCTTACTATTACAATTACTATTAACAACTAATTCGGTAGAAATGGACATTCTGTAATATTTTTTAAAAATTGCATGAATTTATTATTTCATATTTATATATAAATAGTAGCTCTATATTTAATTATCGTTCGAAGAAATCTACACATCATATAAGCAATAATAATAAAACTGTCGTAACTTAAAGCATGCAAAGCAATAAAAAAAATACGATTTGAAACATCTTAAATTTTGAAAAATATATTTTGTAATCTGACATACGAATTTCTTAAATAATTAATTCAACAGTTACGACAGTATTATGATAATGCTGTGATATACCTCGTCCATCTCTCTGGATTAAAATTATGAGGTAAGTACATATAATTTATGAAGCACACTTCAATCTTTAAATCAGGTATCATAGAGTTTTCTTACAAATTTTAAAAGATTGCTATAATTAATCGAGGAATATATAAAAGTTAAAATTTTATATAAGATTATATATGTAATTAAAAATATTTTTTCTTATAAAATCTTCAATATCTTAAAAAAATATATATTTTTGATGTCATACATATCAGTTGCATACATATGCATTAAAAATACAATTAAAATATAATAAAATTTATATTTGCTAAGGATTAAATACAGAAATGTCTAAAATGGAGCATAAGAAACGAAGGATATCTTTCATTCTTACATCGAGTTTGTCTCGATTTGAAAAGAAAAAAATTCCAATTACTTTATTCTCCACTTTTTCAGGTGCATCATACATGTCATCTTTTCTTAGCTATGTAAGTGTAATTTTATATGAATGTTTCTCTCGTCAGCCAACGATAAATTCCTTTCAGTACCATTAGTTTCGAGAGTATTGCCATCGGATATATGTAAGATCCATAAAAGCGGGGCTTCGATTAGGATGGACACCACACTTGTAGACTTTAACGACATGAGATGGGAGAGAGGTGACATATCTTTCATCTTCAATGGTGACCAAAAACCCGGCCATTCGTTGACTGTCCTCGACAATAAAGCAAAACTTTTCCAAAGAGTGAGACATAAGGTTAACGCATTTACATATATGTGGGCTAAAGAAAATTGCATTGTAAATAATGAACTTTATTCTGTATCATGGTAATATTTTCCAAATTTTAATCGATGTTCTTAGCATATTTAGCGATAAATTCTGATTGTCATTTTATCTTAAGATAAAAAAAAAATCCCACAAAAAATGAAATCTATATTATCATTTTTTATCTTGCTCATTATTAAAGCAATGCTTTCTTTGTATAAACTTTTTAGGAAACTGAACTCGAGATAGAGGATGAAGTTGATATTCTTATGTCTAGCGATATTATGGCAGCACAAATGTCTACCAAAGGTATCACGTTTTCTAGAGCACAGACAGGATGGATTTTTAGAGAAGACAAAAGAGTAAGTGTACATTTATAATCATATTAATATTAAAATCGATTCATTTTTTTTTAATTATGAATTTTAATTTTGAGTCAATTATGATATTTTATACTCGAAATTGGTTCAAGCTTATATAGTAAAATATCAAAAGGGAACAATAATGAAATAAATATTTAAAATTAGGAAATGGTCGGCACCTTTCATGCTGATTTCTACCAAATCAATGGTATGGTACTAGAAAGTAGAAAACGTCGGGAACATTTAAGCGAGGAGGATCTCCAAAAGAATAAAGCTATTATGGAATCCCTTACCAAAGGTAGTTCTCAAGGCTTTAAAAACGGCGAGGTGAGATTTCAACTGAAATAAAATAATATATTATTGAGCTTTAGCTTACATAATAAAATATATAATATATATATATATATATAATATATATAATAAAATAATTGATGTGGTAATTAATCTTCTAATTTGATTTATTCAGCCTCCTTTAAGAAGAGCATCGTTGAATCCGCCACCAGAATCGAACATCACGTGGGATGAATATGTCGTCGCGCCAGCCGGCCAGTGTCCGCTTCTGGGAAGAAACCTCGTTTACAAGGAGAGCAGTAAATCTTTCAAAGCCACCGTAGCGATGAGTCCGGATTTTCCCCTCACCGTCGACATGTTACTTAACGTTCTGGAAGTGATCACGCCGTTCAAGCATCTAAGCAAGTTGCGACAATTTGTACTTATGAAGTTACCCCCTGGATTTCCAGTTAAGATCGACATACCGATTTTGCCTACCGTCACCGCTAAAATAACTTTTCAAGAGTTCGCCTTTCGAAATGACATAGATCCAGAGTTGTTTCAAGTGCCATCCGACTATTTCGAAGATCCAATGAGGTAAATTTCTACTTTCGATAAAACGGATTTTGCATATTGTATTGTTTTACATGATTACGGTCGTGCTCCCATATTAGTCATTTCCGGAATGTTAGATTTTCGAGTGATGTTGTTTTTGTGTCTCACTTTCTCGCTGTAAAAGCAGCACAAGAGATAATAAAATCAAATAAGAATTTATTTGGAAATCCGAAAGTAGCAAGAGAAGACACCGGCAATATAGGAGTTCGACTGTACATAAAATATTTGACAATAAAAAGTTATTTTGAGTTTGGACATCTCGATAGTGAATTATATATGTCGAACTTTTCGCGCATACATTACTTTTGAAATCTGACACAATAATACATTTCAGAGATTACGATGCATACATGATTATGATGATGGTTCTTCATAACGCATCATGTGTTTGAGGATAAACTTCAAGATAAAAGAGCGTTTTATTTCAACTTTCTATTATTTTAATACATTTTTTTTATCTCGTTAATAAATTATTTTAATATTTATTTATTAAATTAATTTTTGTCCGTTAAATTATTAAATTATAAAATTTCATAGCAATATTCGCGCACAAAATAGATATTGCAGATATTTTGTAAATATAAATTGTAATACTAATATATTTTTCTTCATAATGGATTTTTCTAACAATTGCATGTTCTGTACAAGTAATTCCATCGGTAATCTCTTTCTTTCTAAACATTGGCAATATATTGTATGAAATAACTTTTTTACTGAATTCTCGAAACACGCATTTAAAAAGACATCAAGCAAGATCGACGATAATTGCATCTGTCTTGATATTATTTAATACAAGATATTTGCAAACATATCGCCGAGTCTTTCAAATCAATCTCTACATTCGATGTACATTGAAAATGTTCACTGTAATCGATGCGCGATTTAACATTTTATGTATTTGCAAGTGTTTTTCATATCATTTACAGCATTCACATCATAAATGACATTCTTACTAATCATCAGCAATCGCTTTGCAGATTTCCAGACTTATGACGCTTCGACATCCTAATATTAATCGAGGTCCACCTTAGTTTGGAGTCTGTTTTCTTCTGTGCTAGGGGACAATCTGGCTTTCGAGATTTGGGCCAGTCTGGAAAGCACCTACTCACGCCATTGTGTGTTGTTCATTGAGTAACTTATATCATTGTAATTTAATCACACATCTAACAGCGAATAGTGTCGAATATTTGTGGAACATTCGATGTAAGGAAGTAAGAAAGCTATGGGAGAAGACAAATCTGTGCACTAAAATCAGATGAATTTGCATATATAAAGCGCGCGCATGATCCTTTAATATCTCTAAACTCTCTTAATCAATATTTGTCTAACTTTATTGATAAACTAACTAATTTACAAAGATATTGCAATCGGTAGGTATATTAATATATTGCGTGCTATAAGTGAGGATAATTTAATTTTTCGAAACACCGTCTTATAGAAAAATTCTCTTATTCTCTTTTAATATATTTAAAAATTAGTGATTTCTCTTGCACGAGAAAAGTCTTTTGTTTTTAAATTCAGTGTTCCTATTGTTGCACTCATACTGGTTGATGACGTCAGAAACGAAATATTTACATATTTAGTATTATATATTTATTTCTATGTGCAAAATGTATAAATTAATTTTTATTAATAATAGTGAGAAACGAATTAATGTTATTGTACAGCGAAAGAAATATATTTATATGATTTTTCGTGGACGTTACAAGTCAATATGATTGCGATGATAGGCAAGAGAAAAATAATAATATAAAGCAAATTATAGATAATGAATGATATTGCTGTATTAGTATTCTGTACTTTTCGCAAATTATCTATCTACTCTCTAAACAGAGCGAAGATAACTGTTCACATTTATTTCTTCGCTAATTCTTACAAGCAATATGTATTTTTACTATTGAAATTTCATAATTGTAGCATTCGATCGGCCATGTAAAAGAATGTTAGCCTAGAATACATACTTCAGTATTACAAGTTCACACTTATGTAGTTTACATTGTAGCGATTGTAATACTTCTCTTTTAGTACAAAAACACTGTTTTTAAACAGAACTTGCACCAGCTTTTTATCCTTGCACAAATCAGTGCATCTTTAAAATATAATGGTTTGTACTCGTATTGTCTTCAATACTAATCGTTATTATTTATTATATAACTGTACATGTTGTAGCTATTCAAAGTATTGAAAAACTATATCTACAAACTTTGTCTCCTTTGAATGGATTTTTCTTTTCCAGCAAATTTATAATTTTTCTTATTTTTTAAATGTTTTGGTATTTAGGTATTACATTAAAATACTATAGAAATAAACAATTTAAGTTCACTTAGAAATACAAAGTACTCGATTTTATTTTTCTATAATTAAAAACAAGCCTTTCTAGACTTATACATTCGTAAAGCTCTTTCATGTTTTTGAGTTTTCAATTTAGTCTCGAAGTTTGTATATACAGGTTTTTAATACTTTGTATATATGTCGCGTTATGTGTAAATAAGAGCTTATTGGATGCTATTGTTTGAAGAATGTGAAAGTATAAGTCCGAATCAAACTTCCTCGCTATCGAATATTATTGAATAATTCTTAATCACAATAAGACCTAGCTTGATGAAGCTTTTTGTGAAGTGTGAATTTTTCAGTGAATGATAGATAAAACTTTCCAAATAAACAAAATCTTCTTTGCCTATTACTAAATTCCTTTTATTCAATTTAGATTTAAAATTTAATTTTATATATCTTTTTTTTAATTTAATTAAATAAAGAATTTCGACATACACTTGCATGTGTGTGTGTGAGTTACAATTAGAGGTTTATAATGTAACAGTGACAAAAATTAACATTTTTTTACATGCATGATTATTGAAGAAAATTTCGACCGAAGCACCGATTCGACAAAATTCAAAAAGCAACATTGCAATATGACAAGTTAGAAAGTTGCCAATTGAATAATGTATAATTATTTTTATATACTTTTCCCGAATCACAGCGTGATTTACAAATCCTGTCTGTTACGTACATTACACTTGCGCGTTACAAATATCAATATATAATCAGAGGAAAGTCTGAGAGTTAGCCACACAAACATCAGGATAATTCTCAGGCTTCTTTTTTGTGTGACATGGATATTTAAATTTAAAACTCATCGATGTCCTTCGCATCGCGAATATATATATTATAATTTATATATTATATATTATTAATTTATATTATATATATTATATATATATATATATATATATATATATATTATTATATATTATTAATATATTATTAAGATATTTATTTATTTATTATATATTATATATTATTAATATATTTATTTATATTTATACTTAATATTTTTGAAAATTTATCGAAAAAATGGGGCAACCTCTGCTTTCTGTCTACACGATGATGTGTAAATTTAAATACAGAGCATGTCGAAAAAATGCGACGCTCGTGGGAAAATGCGGATTATTACGCATATTATTTCGCGACACGCAATTCTTGTTAATCGTCATGTAATCCGAGCACGGTCATCCCTTGAAGTAAATCGCGACGTCACGCGAAGACGTGATCTTGGACTACTTGCAGTCATAATTTGCATGGCCTTGTCGGTTGACGCAGCCGAAACTGAAAAACGAAGTGCATATGGTGTTTTATTTATATTTTGAGAAAAAAAAGAAAAGGTCATAGTGCACCATGGGCGATAACTCTTGCACAAATATATGTCTCACTAATATTTACCCTCTTTTTGCATCGTATATATAGATATACATAGATTTGCTTCAATCGATAAATTAAATTTTTTTAAACTAATTCTTTAATTAAATTAATTTTATTTTAATTTATTACACTTTTAATTAAATATATAAAAATAAAATTTTCTATAAAAAATATTATATAAAAATTAATTTTATTTAATAAATATTATAGAAAATATATAATTCTATAAATAAAGATTATGTATGTATTAAAGTGAAAAATCGTGTTAAATAGTTAAAAATTGAAAATGGAAGAATGTTATGAGGCCGTTTTCCAATCAGATGGTATCTGATTGTGCAACGTTTGTTCTATCAAGAGTATATATTTACAATATGGAATTAGGGTGGACACGTAGGTGCTGATAAAGATTGCAAGAAGAGAGAGTTTTGTCGTCTTTTTCAGATTATTACGAAAGTTCCGGCTGTTTTCTGCATTTACGACATGTATGCGCTCTTTGCGTAAGACTGATATTTCTTTTAAGTACAATGTATCAAAAATTTGTAGACATTAAACAATAAGTTCCACTCTTGAAATTAGTATAAAGTTCTGTACTTATAGGAAATTGAAGAGCGTGAAGAGGGGATTAAAACAGAGCGAAATAAAAGCAGGAATAAATTATTTTGGCATATAGGAACTTTTTTATCTATCCTTATTTCTCGTTCTTTCTTTATGTTTTGTCGGAACTTTAGTACTGAAGGCTATTAATGAAGAGAAACTAACTCTTTGCGAGCATACAAGAAACGTAACGATATGACGACGAACCTAATGTCATGACTATGTATAGAAACAGTTACATAAGATTGCATTTACAGAAAAGAAAAAAACGAAAAAAGAGAGAATTCCTTATATCATATTTATAATTAATATGTAGAATCCAATTTAGGGATAGTTTTCCCACGCTTTTTAATTGTTGATACCAAAAATCAATAATTAAACATTTCATTTAAAATTCCGTTCAAGTAAGTCCATTTTTTCCAGAGATTTACTGACTTGTCTTTTTTAATATCATCTTCTATTTTTTAATACAAAATAATACACTGAAAAAAATTAAATTAATAAATATTATTGAAATAAATATTTATTAATTTAATGATTGTTTTTTCAGTGCACAGGAAAAGATTTTTATCTGAAAACTAATTTGGAATGAGTTTAGAATTGAATAATAATTAATAAAATTTTTACAAAATAAAATAAGTATTGAAATAACTGCCTTATTAAATCGTTTATTTGAAACAAATATTTATCTGTTTTGAAAGAGATTTTCTTATATCAAATAAATATTTCTTTACACATCAAATCAATATTATTAGTTTAATAAATATTTATTCGAATTCAATAAATTGTTTTCAGTGTAGAATCCAACTTAGGGACAGATTTTCCTCACACTTTTAATTTTCGGAATAATTAAGCATTACATATAATTAACATCTAATAATATTTATGGAGAGTTTTACTGATTTCCTGGGAAAAAATTGTTTATATATAACAATATAAAATATATATAAAAATATATAAAATTATACATATAATCGCAAAATTATATATGAAATATGTCCATACATAAAGTATTTCTTATATATATAAAATATATATATGTGTGTGTGTGTGTGTGTGTTTCATATATAATTTGACATGATTATATATGAACCCTTATAATTTATGTATAAATGTAGGTATATAATTATGTATAAAAAATGGACATATTTCACACATAATTTTACGATTATATGTAAAATTATATACAATTATTTATATATAATTATATATAAAAATTTTGTCTTATATTTAATATCATATCAGATATTTTACAATAATGATACAGTTTCTTATAATAAAAACATAGCAATCTAGTTTTCTGGAAAAAAATGGACTTATTTATTAATTTCCGAAGAATCTTTATGTAACATATGTATATAAAAACATATATCAAAGTATGTTATTGATGACGATGGGAGACACACATTATGGCAGAACAAGTTCCTCAGAAACGAGACCGCTTTTATGTTGCAAAATTCTCTTACATTTAAACCTGTGTCACACTTGCAGGGTACTTACATAATATTCCATCTATTTGAACGGAAGGAAATGTAAAGCGGAGAGATAGTTTCCACATCTTCGGGCGTGTCGCGCCGATTCTTGTCAACGTCCTTGTCATCGCGGTCTCCTAAGAGCGACCTAAGCTCAAACAACCGAGACCACCTTGAACACCACGAGGAGGGGTATCTTGACGTGTTGTCAGAAGACAGGATATATAGAGGTTTTGCACGCTGTTACAAGAGTAGATCATCTGTTCGTCTCTCGAACACTGTGTGTTTCTCCGAAAAATATGCGATTGGTGACGTTAGCAATATGAAGTACTTCCTTGCTGTAAGTCAATTAATAACAAAGTAATTTATAATAACATTATTGCGAATATCTTTCGCTTTCCCGTGAAAAAATTCTTTATATATAACAATATAAAATTATATACCCATATACACAGCACAAAATATTTTTAGAATCTTTTAAAAATATTTCTTAAAAGATAAAAAAATTCTCGAAAATATTTTTAAAATTCTATGTCCGCTTTTTCATGTTTAAAAATATTTTTAGAAATATTTTTGAATATAGATTTAAACTAATATTTCAAAAATATGTATCGAATATTTAAAAAAATATCAATAAAGAAGAACATTTTTGAAAATATTTTTAAAAGTTTTTTAAAATATTCTAAAAAATGTTATCACAAAAAATTTTTAAATTATTTTAAAATATTCCTAAAACTATTTTAAAATGTTTTTATGTATTTTATAAAAATATTTAGAAATTTTTGAAAACATTCATAATATTTTGTGCTATATGGGTACAGAGAGAAATATATAAAATTATACATATATAATCGCAAAATTAGTTTTCAGATACAAACTTTTCCTGTACACTGAAAAAACAATCATTAAATTAATACATATTTATTTCAATACTGCTTTATAAATCATTGAAACAAATAAAAAAGTATTTTCTTACACCAAATAAATAATTTTTCACATGAAATCAATATTATTTTCAAATAAATTTATAAAGAAGTATTGAAATAAATATTTATTTGAATTGAATAATTTTTTTTCACCGATTTTTTTCTGTATTAAACAATAAATAATTTAAATAGAAATTAATAACAAGTAAAATAATATTAATATTAATATGGAGAACATGCTTAAACATTAAAGAATAATTTTTTCACATTTGTAAATATAAGTGTATTGTTATAGTTTTTAAATAAAAATTTGTTGTTTCACAAAGCGAGACCAGTATACTACTTATATGCACATAAAATGTATATAAATGTATATTCTATACTTGTTTTACACAGATTTTGACCATAAGTGGTCTTGCATTATGCCAAAGTGTGACCGAATCTTCGGTATCAAAATTATTCCCAAAATTAAACGATGCACAGGGTGTATATGCAAATAATGCAGTAAACCAAGGAGATCTGACACCATCTGCGAGCGATCGAAGTAAGAATGGCAATATTTTATTTTGATTTATATTTATTATTATCGATATTCTTATTTTAATATTATTATATTGCTTAAACACACAAACAAGAAAATTATTAAATTTATAAAATTATAATATTGATGAAAAATTAGGAAATTATTAAATTATAATATATTGACTCTAAACGAATAAAGGAAACTAATTATATAAATAATACCTTGAATAAATTAATCAAACGCGGAATCCAACTCAAGGAGATCACTGGCGCATGATTCCGAATTACCATTTTTTGATATGACAATTTAATAGCCACTTCATTGCATAACGCATATAATAATAGGGCTATGCACAGTATCGTTCCATTTGCGACATTAATTATTCTGTAATTTATAGAGCATCGAATTAATGACATATTTTTCAAAATTCCGTAAAGGATCATTTATAAAAACATATAATTTATAAAAACGTGATAAACACCTACACATATAATTATTCTGTAATTTTTAGAGCATCTAATTAATGACAACATTTTTCAAAATTCCGCAAAGGATCATTTATAGAAACATATGATTTTTAAAAGTGTGATAAACACATATAATATTATTCTGTAATTTCTAAAGATTTCTAAATATTTCTATAAAATATTGCATAAAAACATTTTAAAATAAATCTAAAAATATTTTAAAATAATTTAAAAATTTTTTGTGATAACATTTTTTAGAATATTTTAAAAAACTTTTAAAAATATTTTTATAAGTGTTCTTCTTTATCGCTCGAATAATATTTTTTTAAATATTTGATACGTATTTTTGAAATATTAGTTTAAATCTATATTCAAAAATATTTTTTAAACATGAAAAAACGGACATAGAAACATTTTAAAAATATTTTTCGAGAATTATTTTGTTTTGTAAGAAATATTTTTAAAAGATTTTAAAAACTATTAAATTGTCATATCAAAAAATATTTTAAAAAGATTTTAAAAATTTTGTGCTGTATGAGATGTCCATACATAATTAGATAAAAATGCTTTTTATATATAAGTATATATATATATATATATATATAAAATAAATAAGTATTTCTTTATATATATAAATATATATATGTTTCATATATAATTTGACATTATATATAAACCCTTATAATTTATATATAAATTTATATAATTATGTATAAAAATAGACATATTTCATATATAATTTTACGGTTATATGTATAATTATACAATTATTATATGTATAATTATATATAATAATTATTTATATTTATAATTATATATAAAAAATTGTTTACCGGGCATATTTGTCAAAATTTCATAAAGGATCATTTATAGAAACATATAATTGACAAAAACGCGATAAACACCTACACATATACGCATATTCTGAATGATTTTCTTTGAAATCCCGTGAATCATGTGTGTTATGTCTTCGCGAGAGGGAAGGCCTTCGGACGGTCCGTCGTATTAGCATCTTATTATCACCACTGTCGTTTTTTCTCTTCTTTTTGTAACATGGGAAGCGCCCGACTCTCTCAAAGTCAGAGCGTGAGAACGGTAGTGACACACTTATGACGATATGCCGTGCAATTACTCATAGCACGACTACTATGTTATATCACGTTGGAATAGATAGATGAATCGATTATTATCACACCTTGCAATATTGTAATCTTATTCCGCAATTTACGCGGAATAGGAAATTCGCGCTGGATGACTTGTCTGTTATATATCGTGAGATCGGTATCTATCTATTAATAACAGTTTAATATTTAAACGTTGGTAATTCCATGTTCCATGCAAAGTATAAATTATACTGTATACATAATTAGTGCATGATATAATAATAATAATAACAACTTTGATATAGAAATATCAAAGTGGATTTATAAGATTACATATTTTTTGCAATAATTATTTTATTGTATGTCACATATAATTGACACGTTTAATTATATGTTAAGTAAATCTCTACAGTTTCGACGATATATTTTCATAAAACAAATATAAATTATAGAAAGCTTTCTAAAATTATTAATATGTAATAAAATTAAATTAATATAATATTAAAATTAAAAAATAAAAGCAATAATAATAAAATAAAAATCCCTTTCTAAAAAGAGCATGCAAAGTAAATTATCGCAAATATTGTTGCTGCTTTTCCGCGAAGATTCAAATATAAAATATATAGTAAAATATAAAATTAAAATATAACAGTTTAATATAATATTGTAGCATCATTTATACCTGCATTATTTTTTAATGAAAATTATTGAATTGTATTTCTCAAATTTATATTAGTATATTCTACTATCAGTTTACTATATATACTAACAATAATTTGCTATCATAATTAAACTTGATAATAAAATTGAGTTTGATTTATGAATCAAAACAATTATACTTTTACGTATAATTCCTTACTGTATTAATAAATTTACTTATAATTAAATTTACTAAATTTATGTAGTATACCCCACCCGTCCGTCACGTTGCGCGTTTCGCGCGAGACTGACTCTCGTGCGAGCTATCGCGAGTGCGAGGCTCGACGATCACGTGACCAGTTTCGCGCGCGCAGCGGATGCGTGCAGACGCGCGAAGCGCAGATATTTTGATCGAAAGATTCTTGTGGAAAATTCGATTTTTTTTTTGTTTTCTGTTAACAAATTATATATTGATTTTTTTATATTAACCACTTAATTAATATATTTTTATGCATGTATATATATAACTTGAGATATTAATATTTTATTCATAAATTTATTTTTTCTGAATAGCCTATTTTTGATAGTTCTGTCTAAAAACTAATTTTTATAAAATTGTAGATTTATATTAGCATGACATATAATTTATTAATATAAAAAATAATTGTATTAGCATTTCATCTGACCAAAGATTATGGAGGATACCCCGGATCAATTGGAGGATATCCTGGAGGATATTCTGGATACGGAATTAATCCGGGAATAGCTGGAAACTCTATTCATCCTGGTTTATATCGCGGTAGCCTGATTCCAGGATATAATAGGGGTTATCAATATCCAGGTGGTATCATCGGCAGCGGTAATCTTGGGTAAGATTCATAATTATGATTTTCTCAATATATTTTTTTTAATATTCTTATTTTATATATTTGTTTTATTATATATTTTTGCTCTTAGACTTGTTTGCAAATGCATAAAATATTTTTATATATTAAATATTTTATCCATTTAAATATAGTTAGACATACATATAAGATTTATTAAATATTAAAGCATTAATGATAATTTAATTATAAAAAAGTATATAAAAAAGAAATAAATATAGACAAATATAAATGAACAAGAGAAAAAATATAATTGAAAAATATAAATATAAAAAAATAAATATAAATCATACAAAAAGAAAAATAAATTTTTCCTTTTTATCGCAGGTATGGATATTATGGAAATAATCCTGGATACAGCGGCTACGGCGGATATGGAGGATATGGAACAGGATATGGAGCAGGATATGGAGGAGGATATGGCGGAGGATATGGTGGATATAATCCATATGGTTACAGCGGATATGGTGGTTATGGGGATTACGGAAGAGGAGGCCTTGGGGGTTACGGAAGTTACGGTGTCGGAGGTTTCGAGGACAGTTTAGGATATGGACGTGGTCGTTACGACGGATACGATACTTATGGCTACGGAAGCGGATACGGTACGAATTATGGCTCGACGTACGCGGCGAGGAGTCCGTATCCCTACAGTTATCGCGGTGGTAATTATGCTAATACCCTCGGCAGCCCAACTGGTTATCGCGGTTATTCTTAATAATCACCCGCGACGAATAATAAATACATGGTTTTTTGCATAATTTTCACACAAACATTACCCATACAGCATAAAATATTTTTAAATATTTCTTAAAAGATAAAATAATTCTCGAAAATATTTTTAAAATGTTTCCATGTCCGATTTTTCATGTTTAAAAAATATTTTCAGAAATATTTTGAAATATAGCCGAATTTAAACTAATATTTCAAAAATATGTATCAAATATTTAAGAAAATATTATCCGAGCGCTAAAGAACATTTTTTTAAATATTTTTAAAATATTCTAAAAAATGTCATCACACAAAATTTCTAAATTATTTTAAAATATTCCTAAAAGTATTTTAAAATGTTTTTATGCAATATTTTATAGAAATATTTAGAAATATTTTTGAAAACATTCATCATATTTTGTGCTGTATGGGTAAAATGAAAAAATGTCTTTACAAATTAATATATCTAATGCCACTTTTGTTATCAGCGTATCAATACGTAAATGCGTTAATATATATATAAGATATTTTACATGTAATACACAAAAGAGAAACGATGTGTAATTTTTTAATCTAAAACAGATATGTGTTTTATGTTGAAATAAAAAAATCTTATATTTGTACATAACACAAAACAATATAATATTATTTCTATTTATAATATTTCTTTTATTATTATTATTCCTTATTCATTTCATATTATTACATAATTTTTTATTTTAATATATTTCTCTTTCATTTGCTTTCAAAATAGCCTTTAATTAATTACGACTTCTGTTTATTTTCTGTTATTCTCTTTAACTTAAATTTAAAACTTTAATTTAAAAATGATTTTCATTAGTAATAATAATTTTTTTAATTTGAATTTGTTAATCTTTTTAGCTGCATAAATTATTGAAATCATAATTCCGTTTAAAAAATTTATAACATTATTTGGGAAAGTAAGTAGAGCTATAGTATTTTTATTCATACATAATTTTCTAAATTTATTTATAGCGATAACTTTACGCTATTCAATTAACAGACATACATTATATTGAATTGTAAATTCGGCAGTTTTTGAAAAGTAAAAAATGTATTAACAAAAATTTTTTATATATGGATTAATCGTGGATTAATCAAACATTCCTTTCATTGCTTATGTATGCAGCATAAAAATTATTAGCTATATCCTGTCATGTAATAATTGATATACTCTGTAATAAAATCATAGAAGTACAATAATTTTAAATAAGAGAGATATAAATTGCACAATTTGCAAAAATTTTAAGATAATATAATTAAATTTTACAAACCAATATATTTATATTTAGAAATATATTTTTTATACTTTTATTGATACTATAAAATGTTTAATTATTAGCTAAGTTATGCCATTCATCTAATTATTATTAAAATTATAAACTATAAAAGATTAAAAAATAACAAAATACAAAAATTTCTATATAATTTTTAAAAATATACATTTATATAGTTCTTAGAGCACCATTATATGCTATTTAATATTTCACTTATATCTTATATATGTATATCTCTCTTAGAAAATCTAATGTAAAACACTACGCGTTGTAAAAATTTTTAACTTCTATCATATATAAGATGTAATAATAAATATCAGGATATTGGTAAAAGTCGGAATTCAAGATTTATCATTATAAAATTAGATTCAAATCGAATATTATTAACAATAAATTGAAAAAAATCGACAACTAATTCACCTCTGTAAATTTTTCACATAATCTACCAGCTTCGCATACAGCACAAAATATTTTTTAAATCTTTTAAAAATATTTCTTAAAAGACAAAATAATTCTCGAAAATATTTTTAAAATGTTTCCATGTCCGCTTTTTCATGTTTAAAAAATATTTTTGAACATAGATTTAAACTAATATTTCAAAAATATGTATCAAATATTTAAAAAAATATCATCTGAGCAATAAAGAACATTTTTAAAAATATTTTTAAAAGCTTTTTAAAATATTCTAAAAAATGTCATCACAAAAATTTTTAAATCATTTTCAAATATTCTTAGAATATCATTTTAAAATGTTTTTATGCAATATTTTATAGAAATATTTAGAAATCTTTTTTGAAAACATTTATAATATTTTGTGCTGTATGGGCGATTAGAACACTTCGTGTTCCAAGTATCTCTAATTGGCCATCCATCAGCTGTAAACCATCAGCTGGCGGACAGGCAATGCCAATATCCTATTATTTATTGATCCTCGGAAGAGTAGAAACTCTCCCTAGGAACAATCGCGATTTAAAAGTATAGTACCCAGATAGCAAAATATATGCATTCTGTACTCATAATGTACTCATATTTCTTAAAACATGATGATAAAAACAGACACAATTTTAAATGCAGGCTCATATGCTACACAAAACACGGATATATGATATCTTTCAAATGTTTGCAAAAAAATGTCATTATGAGTACATAAATACGCTCAAATTAATATCTGAGTTCACATTTTTCATCATATGTATGTAACGTGCTCATGATACCTCCCAGTAAGCACAAAGTAACAATTACATAATATCAATGTTATAATTTCCCACTCAATAATATAACTGTTACGTACAAGCCACACTGTAAAAAATATGTAATATATTACACAAAAATTACATAAATAATAAGTGTAAAATTGCACGATAAATAATAGAAATTTTTACCTTTTCATTATTTATCATGTAATTTTACATTTATTATTTATGTAATTTTACACATTTTTTACAGTGCATGTTATATTGCGGTTATATTATCGAGTATTATATAGAGATTATATTATTGAGAAATTATAACATTGATGTGATGTAATTGTTACTTTGTGTTTGCTGGGCTATCATCATAATATGATTACAAGACATAGGACACATTTCAATCATCTCAGAAGATCACATGATGAAGTCTGATCATCAGGCCTTTCTATCTGGGTAAGTCAGCGCGTTTTACGTTTCCGATTCCGTCTTCCTGCCTTTGCTCTTCCTCCGTTCGGCGCTTCTGCTCTTCACTGGAACATTCAAAAAGCCAAGATTGGCCCGACTTAACGCCTGCCTGAGATAGTCGATGTCGCCGAGTTGGTTCACATCGATGGTTTCGATGCGGAGGTTACCGTAGTCTTGCGCGCCACACGCGTCGCACGTGTACGGAACCGGGGTGACAGATGGGAACATGAGTTTCATTTTGCCGCTGCTGTCCGCCTTGTCGCCGGGACAGTAGGGCACAAAGATGACGGGAATGAATCCGACCTGGCCAATGACAGGGATGGGAGGTGTCGTGCCGGCCGACGCGTTGCTCGCACGCTCGTTCGGCTCAATTAAGTAGCAAGGACACGCTTGCGGGTCTGGCCCAACAGGTAACGAGAAGGGCTGGATGGAGCTGGGTGGCTGAACCCCGATGGCGTCGAGCCCGGGATTCGCCTGGAGTGACTGTTCAAGACGTGAATTTACCTGTTTCCGCGGAAGATTCAGGAAGGGTCCGTCTGATTGCAAAGACAGACTAGGTATCGATTTTCTATCCACGGAGGAATTATCGTTGTACTGTTCCTTCAGGTTCAGGTTAAACACGCTGTCCTGGCGTCCTGTTTTGCCCACTCGGCCTCTGGATGATGGCTGTTGCGAGTAGAATATCGACTTCCGATAGTCGTCTTGATGATCGCGCACGCCAAATTGTTCGTAGTCATTCCTGGATGGTTTGTTCAGTTTTAATCCAAACTCGTTCAGGTGATCGTAAGGTCGTGAAGTCTTCTGTACTGAATCTATACTTTGATAATCTTCGTTGTAGGGTAATAATGATGGTGACGTCGGGCGAGGTTGCAAAAGTGAATTGATCTCATCTGCATTGTAGGTTTCTGATTTTTCGTGGAATAATGGGACGGTGCCATATTCAGATTTATACTGATGAGGTTTATGGCTCGTGTACAATGGTGGGTTTACTTCTGCCGCATGTGATAACTTTGTCAATTCGATGTCTGTTACAATATCGTCCGTGTACGAAGAATCAGTCTTGTTTCTAGAATAATATTTCGTAACAGAATTATAATTGTTATTATGAACTGGAGAAGTTATAGGATATTGATATTTTATTGGTCTCCTTGATTTGGGTATATACCCTGGATCACCAGGCCAGGGTCCATCAGGACCTGGTGAACCAGTTGGCCATGGCCCGTCAGGTCCATCAGGTCCAACTCCTCCTTCACCACCTACACCTCCGATACCTCCGATACCTCCTATGCCGCCAATTGGACCGACAGGTCCTTCTGGACCTTCTGGACCTTCCGGATATCCTGGATAACCGGGATAAGGAGGATAACCTGGATGACCTGTTAAAAAGCAATACAGACAACACAAATAAATATGTCTTTATTCATCATGTAATTATTAATATTATGTGCAATTGCAAAATATTGTTGTAATATTGTTGTATAAATAGATATATGTATATATAAATAAATATATATACTCTCACGAATATACATAAAATGTCAAATATATAATAAGAATAGATAATAAGTTTATACAATATGTGTAAAATAATAATTTAAAACAACAATAAACATACCAGATGTATCAGGTTTTGAAGGAACAGTTGGTTTATTTGAAGTTCCGGGATATGGAGCACTCGGCTTTTCTGATATTCCTGGTTTGTTGGAAGATCCTGGATAACCTATATAAAATAATGTATTTAATGCATTAATAACACATAGCAGTAAAATAAATTCTCCACAGCTCTAATATTACCTGGTTTTCCTGGAGATCCAGGCGTACCAGGAGTTCCAGGATATCCTGGATAAGCTGGTGTTCCTGGTCGTCCTGGAATGCCTGGTGTACCGGGCGTTCCTGGTGTTCCTGGCGTGCCGGGATATCCTGGATGTGGCGGTAATCCTGGTGTACCTGGTGTTCCAGGAATACCAGGAGTTCCTGGATGTCCTGGATAAGGTGGTGTTCCCGGTCTTCCTGGTGTGCCGGGCGTTCCTGGTGTTCCAGGAGTGCCAGGGTATCCTGGATGTGGCGGTAATCCTGGTGTGCCTGGGGTTCCAGGAATGCCAGGAGTTCCTGGATGTCCTGGATAAGGTGGTGTTCCCGGTCTTCCTGGTGTGCCGGGCGTTCCTGGTGTTCCAGGAGTGCCAGGGTATCCTGGATGTGGCGGTAATCCTGGTGTACCTGGGGTTCCAGGAATGCCAGGAGTTCCTGGATGTCCTGGATAAGGTGGTGTTCCCGGTTTTCCTGGTGTGCCGGGCGTTCCTGGTGTTCCAGGAGTGCCAGGGTATCCTGGATATGGCGGTAATCCTGATGTACCTGGGGTTCCAGGAATGCCAGGAGTTCCTGGATGTCCTGGATAAGCTGGTGTTCCCGGTCTTCCTGGTGTCCCGGGGGTTCCTGGTGTTCCAGGAATACCAGGGTATCCTGGATGTGGCGGTAATCCTGGTTTACCTGGGGTTCCAGGTATACCAGGAGTTCCTGGATGTCCTGGATAAGCTGGTGTTCCCGGTCTTCCTGGTGTCCCGGGGGTTCCTGGTGTTCCAGGAATACCAGGGTATCCTGGATGTGGCGGTAATCCTGGTGTACCTGGGGTTCCAGGTATACCAGGAGTTCCTGGATGTCCTGGATAAGGTGGTGTTCCCGGTTTTCCTGGTGTCCCGGGGGTTCCTGGTGTTCCAGGAATACCAGGGTATCCTGGATGTGGCGGTAATCCTGGTGTACCTGGGGTTCCAGGTATACCAGGAGTTCCTGGATGTCCTGGATAAGGTGGTGTTCCCGGTTTTCCTGGTGTGCCGGGCGTTCCTGGTGTTCCAGGAGTGCCAGGGTATCCTGGATATGGCGGTAATCCTGGTGTACCTGGGGTTCCAGGAATGCCAGGAGTTCCTGGATGTCCTGGATAAGCTGGCGTTCCAGGTTTTCCTGGTGTCCCGGGCGTTCCTGGTGTTCCTGGCGTGCCAGGATATCCTGGATACGGCGGTAATCCTGGTGTACCTGGGGTTCCAGGAATACTAGGAGTTCCTGGATGTCCTGGATAAGGTGGTGTTCCCGGTTTTCCTGGTGTGCCGGGCGTTCCTGGTGTTCCAGGGGTGCCAGGGTATCCTGGATGTAGCGGTAATCCTGGTGTACCTGGGGTTCCAGGAATGCCAGGAGTTCCTGGATGTCCTGGATAAGCTGGCGTTCCAGGTTTTCCTGGTGTGCCGGGCGTTCCTGGTGTTCCTGGCGTGCCAGGATATCCTGGATACGGCGGTAATCCTGGTGTACCTGGGGTTCCAGGTATACCAGGAGTTCCTGGATGTTCTGGATAAGCTGGTGTTCCCGGTCTTCCTGGTGTCCCGGGGGTTCCTGGTGTTCCAGGAATATCAGGGTATCCTGGATGTGGCGGTAATCCTGGTGTACCTGGGGTTCCAGGTATACCAGGAGTTCCTGGATGTCCTGGATAAGGTGGTGTTCCCGGTTTTCCTGGTGTGCCGGGCGTTCCTGGTGTTCCAGGAGTGCCAGGGTATCCTGGATGTGGCGGTAATCCTGGTGTACCTGGGGTTCCAGGAATGCCAGGAGTTCCTGGATGTCCTGGATAAGCTGGCGTTCCAGGTTTTCCTGGTGTACCGGGCGTTCCTGGTGTTCCTGGCGTGCCAGGATATCCTGGATACGGCGGTAATCCTGGTGTACCTGGGGTTCCAGGAATACTAGGAGTTCCTGGATGTCCTGGATAAGGTGGTGTTCCCGGTTTTCCTGGTGTGCCGGGCGTTCCTGGTGTACCAGGAGTGCCAGGGTATCCTGGATGTGACGGTAATCCCGGTATGCCTGGGGTTCCAGGAATACCAGGAGTTCCTGGATGTCCTGGATAAGCTGGTGTTCCAGGTTTTCCTGGTGTGCCGGGCGTTCCTGGTGTTCCAGGAGTGCCAGGGTATCCTGGATGTGGCGGTAATCCCGGTGTACCTGGGGTTCCAGGAATGCCAGGAGTTCCTGGATGTCCTGGATAAGCTGGCGTTTCAGGTTTTCCTGGTGTGCCGGGCGTTCCTGGTGTTCCAGGAGTGCCAGGGTATCCTGGACGTGGCGGTAATCCCGGTGTACCTGGGGTTCCAGGAATGCCAGGAGTTCCTGGATGTCCTGGATAAGCTGGCGTTCCAGGTTTTCCTGGTGTGCCGGGCGTTCCTGGTGTTCCTGACGTGCCGGGCAATCCTGGATGTGGCGGTAATCCCGGTGTACCTGGGGTTCCAGGAATTCCAGGAGTTCCTGGATGTCCGGGATGAGCTGGTGTTCCCGGTCTTCCTGGTGTGCCGGGCGTTCCTGGTGTTCCTGGCGTGCCGGGAAATCCTGGATGTGGCGGCAAGCCCGGTGTACCTGGGGTTCCAGGTATGCTAGGAGTCCCTGGATGCCCTGGATAAGCTGGTGTCCCTGGTCTTCCTGGTGTACCAGGCGTCCCTGGTGTTCCTGGGGTGCCGGGAAATCCTGGATGTGGCGCTAATCCCGGTGTACCTGGGGTTCCAGGAATTCCAGGACTCCCTGGATGTCCTGGATAAGCTGGTGTTCCTGGTCTTCCAGGTGTGCCGGGCGTTCCTGGTGTTCCTGGCGTGCCAGGATATCCTGGATACGGCGGTATTCCCGGTGTTCCTGGGATTCCAGGTGTTCCCGGATGCCCGGGATAAGCTGGTGTACCTGGTTTTCCTGGTATGCCTGGGCTGCCAGGTGTCCCTGGTGTTCCTGGGGTGCCGGGAAATCCTGGATGTGGTGGTAATCCCGGTGTACCTGGGGTTCCAGGAGTCCCTGGATGCCCTGGGTAAGCTGGTGTTCCTGGTCTTCCAGGTGTGCCGGGCGTTCCTGGTGTTCCTGGCGTGCCAGGATATCCTGGATACGGCGGTATTCCCGGTGTTCCTGGGATTCCAGGTGTTCCCGGATGCCCGGGATAAGCTGGTGTACCTGGTTTTCCTGGTATGCCTGGGCTGCCAGGTGTCCCTGGTGTTCCTGGGGTGCCGGGAAATCCTGGATACGGCGGTATTCCTGGTGTTCCTGGGGTTCCAGGAGTTCCTGGATGCCCTGGATAAGCTGGTGTTCCTGGTTTTCCTGGTGTGCCTGGGCTGCCAGGTGTCCCTGGTGTTCCTGGGGTGCCGGGAAATCCTGGATGTGGTGGTAATCCCGGTGTACCTGGGGTTCCAGGAGTTCCTGGATGCCCTGGGGAAGCTGGTGTTCCTGGTTTTCCTGGTGTGCCTGGGCTGCCAGGCGTTCCTGGTGTTCCTGGGGTGCCGGGAAATCCTGGATGTGGTGGTAATCCCGGTGTACCTGGGGTTCCAGGAATACCAGGAGTTCCTGGATGTCCTGGATAAGCTGGTGTTCCTGGTCTTCCTGGTGTGCCGGGCGTTCCTGGTGTTCCTGGCGTTCCGGGAAATCCTGGATGTGGCGGTAATCCCGGTGTACCAGGGGTTCCAGGAATGCCAGGAGTTCCTGGATGTCCCGGATAAGCTGGTGTTCCTGGTTTTCCTGGTGTGCCGGGCGTTCCTGGTATTCCTGGCGTGCCGGGAAATCCTGGATGTGGTGGTAATCCCGGTGTACCTGGGGTTCCAGGAATACCAGGAGTTCCTGGATGTCCAGGATAAGCTGGTGTTCCTGGTCTTCCTGGTGTGCCGGACGTTCCTGGTGTTCCTGGCGTTCCGGGAAATCCTGGATGTGGCGGTAATCCCGGTGTACCGGGGGTTCCAGGAATCCCAGGAGTTCCTGGATGTCCAGGATAAGCTGGTGTTCCTGGTCTTCCTGGTATGCCGGGCGTTCCTGGTGTTCCTGGCGTGCCGGGAAATCCTGGATGTGGCGGTAATCCTGGTGTACCTGGGGTTCCAGGAATTCCTGGATATCCTGGATAAGCTGGTGTTCCTGGTTTTTCAGGAATTCCTGGTTTACCAGGTTGATCTGTAATCCCAAGATATGCTGGTATTGTTCTACTATGTGTATAGTCTATCATGTAGTATATTATTATTATTATACGAAATATATTGTTAAGTTCTTGTAATATACATTTTTTAAAATTATTGAAATTTACTAGAAATTATTGACATCATATATTAAAATCTAAATGCTTAATTAATATATACGTATGATTATATAGACAATATTATTTAGATATTATTACACAAATGTTTGCAACAATTTTATCTCCGCATTCATAATTTTCCAATAATTTTTGCTATATAATACAATATTTACCTTTACTGTGATAATCTTGCTAATCAATTAATGAAATACGAAATATTAAAATAGAAATCATTTTTTATTTTAAAAAATTATATTTAATTGTATTATAAAAATGAGTTTGCAAAAATAAGAAAAATGTAAGAAAAAAAGAAGATAATTTAATAAAAAAAATTATGTATCATAACTTTAATCTATTATACCCCTCATTCTAATATCTTGTTATTGTGATGTATATACTGTAATACTTATTTTTAATTATAATAATATGTAATTTTCTCTTTTTTTAGATTGTCCAATAATATTTTATTATAATATATGCATTTAACAGTAAAAATAAATATTGTTTTTTAAATGTTTTTCTCGATTAAAATATTTTACATATATTGTATATATATATATAATAAAAAAAATAGATTTTATATATCCTTATACAAGAGCTTTTATTCTCTTGCAATATAATTTTAAATATTTTAAATTATTGAACATAATGTTATTTATAAATTACATACCTGTTGCACCAGGCCTATAAGGAGGTTTTACATCTATTGTGGATCCACTTCCGATAGGTGCTACTTTATTAAAATATTCATTATAAAATAAACATCATTCATATGTATATATAAAATTAAATATCATTATAATTAAATATCATTATATATAAAATTAAATATGAATATAATTACAATGCAATAATGATTTTCTATATATGCTCCCAATTTTTACGTACTTCCTGCACCTGGTGTAAAGGGTGGAACGTTCGTGTTTTCGTATTGCGCGCATACCGCGGGAAAATACAATTCTCGCCATGGTGTAACCACTCCGTGATGCTCGTGATGATCATGACCGTCTCCGGCTTCGTGATGCTCGTGCTTGTGAAGGAACAGTTCGACTTCCTTTCCCGGCCGAACTACACGATAGCCCCATCCGTCACTCACGTAAAACGTCGATTTCAGTTGACCGAACGGGTCAACGTAGCCGTAACATCCATAAGTGATACCATCTGGGCCACGCACTTCGTGATGGAATTGGCCATTTGGACCAACATCGTAACCGTATTTGTATGCAGCTATGTGTGTCAAATGTTGCACAATATTAATTATATAATTGCAATTTATTCGATTTTTTTTAATAATTTGCATGGTGCATTTTCGATAGCACTTTTTGTGTATAATTTATGTATAAATTATGGATCTTTTTATTCTCCCTCTCTTAATTCTGCCACTTCTGAATTTAATGTAATAAATTTAAATTACATATTTTTATTTTTAATGTACCTATATACAGCACAAAATATTATTAATGTTTACAAAAAATATTTCTAAATATTTATTTCTATAAAATATTAATATTTTAATATTTTATATTTTAATTAATAATTAATAATTAAATAATTAATTATAAAAGTTAAAAATTAATTAATACTTAAAAAAAGAATTAATTAATAATTTAATGTAAATTTTATTTTTGACTCACCTGATTCAAAATTTTGACTCAAATACTGAACTTTTTGTTTGTCGCTAATATTCAGAATCACATTGTTGTCCTGGTTGCTGCTTCTCGGTTCCTGAGTGAGTTGCGACACGGATGTAGCAATCACCTTGAAAACAATTATTTTTATTCATAAATGTGGAGATCATTGAACTCTGCAAATAAGTCACGAATATTTAATGTTCGTTTCAATTTTAATCTTTACTTTTTTACAAATCTTATTTAAATCTCTACAAAAAAATGGAAATATTAAAATGAGTAGGATTAATAAATTTTTAGACATAAACATACAGAATAATGTATTCAGTGAGATAAAAAATTAAAAATTAATAATCAAGCGATTTAATCGAAAAGATAATGTGTTTCAATGAATCTCTATCATCACATTAAATCATTAATAATGACTTTAATCGTCAATCAGAAGACATTTAATATTTAAATTTTTTTTATGAATCTATTATACAAATGATATACAAAAAAAAATTCCAAGACATTTATTATATCTTAAACAGACATAATATTTTTCAAATGTTTAATAATGAAATTATAATCGTTTATTCGCGTAAACACGCATAAATATGTAAGATATTATATCGTATATGCTATTTATATATATAGAAATATCTTCTGTTAATAAGAAATGGTTGCCAGTCGCAATAATTTTGCATCGTGACATTTCGAACGCAAAGCGTAATTATCAGGCGGTGTTTAAAAACAGTTGCCCTTTAATCAATCGTCAGGATTAAGTATTTGATGCGATCTATAAGTACAATCGTGAAATATCATGGTGATGATGTTTTCTATTTTTGCAGTCGCGATGCAATTTGTAACTATTAGACAGTTTAAACACAAGATGTATCGCACAATTATATATAGGAATCTCTCCTTGAACGCAATTATATTTCCGTCAATTAACTGTTTTTAATCACGTCCCATACAGCACAAAATATTTTTAAAATCTTTTAAAAATATTTCTTAAAAGATAAAATAATTCTCGAAAACATTTTTCTAATCTTTTAAAAATATTTCTTAAAGATCAAATAATTCTTGAAAATATTTTTATAATTTTTTAAAAATATTTCTTAAAAGATAAAATAATTCTTGAAAATATTTTTATAATCTTTTAAAAATATTTCTTGAAAGATAAAATAATTCTCAAAATGTTTTTATGATTTTTTAAAAATATTTCTTAAAAGATAAAATAATTTTCGAGAATATTTTTAAAATTCTATGTCCGCTTTTCATGTTTCAAAAATATTTTCAGAAATATTTTTGAATATAGATTTAAACTAATATTTCAAAATCATGTATCGAATATTTAACAAAATATTATCTGAGCGATAAAGAAGAACATTTTTAAAAATATTTTTAAAAGCTTTTTAAAATATTCTAAAAAATGTTATCACAAAAAATTTTTAAATCATTTTAAGATATTCCTAAAACCATTTTAATAATATTTAACTATTTTAACAATATTTTATAGAAATATTTAGAAATATTTTTTGAAAATATTCATAATATTTTGTGCTGTATGGGGTTATATGTAACACATATAAAAAATACACTAACAAAAAATCATTAAATTCGATTAAATATTTGATTTCAATACTACCTTATAAATTTATTTAAAATTAATAATATTGATTTATATAATGTAAAAAAATATTTTTTTTATTATAAGTAAATTCTTTTCAAAACAAATGTGATAAATATTTATATGTTTCAAATAAATGATTTAACAAGGCAGTACTGAAATAAAAATGTTTATTAATTTAATAATTTTTTTCAATGTAGAAAAAAATTTGATGCCAAAGTTTATTGGGGAATTTTCGATGGAGAACAAAACGTTATAACAAAATTTTTTTAAATACTTCTCTAGAAAAAATTAAATCTATTTTTTTTAATTTTTTATTTAAATTAATTTAAAAAAATATATGTGACTCAATTTAAAAAAAATTAAAAAATTAATTATAGGTATTAATTAAAAATTTATTCTTATTTAATAGGATCATATTTTTTTTAATCGCTCGAACAAATTGAATTAATATCTTCAGATCGGCTGTCGAGATACACGTAACGCCAAGCATATAAATTATAAGAGTTGAAATGAGATCAGGCTACACCTTTAAATAAAAAGATTGCTCAATGCGGAACTCATCTTTTTTATCTTCGAATATACATATATTGCCATCTCTTCGATGAGGTAATATATTTCCACTTTCTCGAATGGTGGACGAACTATGTGTACCTTTCGCTGCCGTGTTTCCGATCTCAATTAATTATCCATTCTGCATAAGCGAAAGTCGAAGATGATCAATAACTAACAGTAGAAATGCTTCTTTTCATTTTCAATTTGCATGAGATGTCGACTCTCTTATACCATTTGCTTTTAGCGGATTAATTACTTCCGCAAGATAATTCAAAGGCGTTGTAAGGATAATTAAAACAAAGTATCCAAAAAAAGAGTATTTAAAAATCACACTCAAGTCGTTTTGTTTTATACGTGCACTAAAAACAAAATTTTTAACTAAATATTTTGTTAATTGAACATATAAAAATATTTTTAATTAAAATTATTATAATAATAAATTAAAATTATTAAAATCATAAATTAAAATTATTAAAATAATAAATTAAAATTTGTTAACTAAACCTTTCAATTAAATATTTTGTTAATTGAACGTATAAAAATATTTTAAATAAAAATTATAAAAATAATTAAAATAATAAATAAAAATAAAATAAATTTGACTTAAATACTAATATATATTTAATCAATCGAGTGAAGAAATTTTTCTTTCAGTGCACCAGAGGCACATTTAATAAATTTTCTTCGATCGTAAAATCTTATGCAAATCGAGTGACGCGAGCGTGTAAGAACAGAGGTGATTTGTACTTGATATATATAATATTTCCTCGGCGAGAGCCAATTTCGGAGATGAAATTTCCGCGGGCATCCGAACCCTTCCCTCGTGGCGATAATAATGTGCAATAAACGGAGGTTCCTCTCGTGAGGATCTCGGATATGCTGTTACGAAAGTTCTAGCGATGCTCTCTCGGAAGATTACGCTGGCTGGTGTCTTCACCATTTCCCTAAATGGACACGGAGGACGAAATTGGTCTCTTTCGCACTTCCAGATCGGGAGAATGTCAAGGTAGGAAATACGCCGTCGAAATTCCTTCGCGTCTTCTCAATTGGATGTTTAATGGCGCACTTAATCTGCGAGAAAGCAAGCCTACTGAAGCCTGATTAATTTTAATCCGATGAAGATATAAGTTATGGCTGCATTTTATAAGCCCTCGTATCATAAATTCATATTTAATAATCAGAAATGTGCAATTATTCGAAATAAATGCATTTAAAATAGAAATGTCTATTTTGTATTTTCAATTCAAAATACACGTGTTGCAAGAAACTATTTTATATTTGCATTCAAATGGTTTTTATTACCCATTTTTTATTTCAAATGCATGTTTCTTGCAAGTTAAAAAATTAATCGAAAAAAATATCAATAATATGTATATCTATAACAATCAAAATGTTATTAAAGAAGTCATTAAGTAAATGTCTGAATAAATAATAATCAAAATTTTCTGTAATTCTACATGTAAATACAGTTATATACAATAATTTTATTTTTTGTTTATATTAATAAAAATATATAAAATTTATAAAAGTTTAAAAAGTTATAAAAAAAGTTGATAAAATATGTTTATAAAGAAAATTTATAAAGTTTATAAAAATTGAATATAGAAATAAAAATTTAAATATATATATATATGTATATATTTGGAAAAACCATTTTTATTTTAAAAATTCATTAAAAAAATACCTATTTTCCATTTTCTATTTTAAATGGATGTCTGAGAAGCATTTTACATTTTCTATTTTAAATGGATTTGAACACTCGTTTTGCGTATCTCTGTTAATAAAAGAAAATATTACTTCCTCCATGTTTATTTTACTTGTCGAGTATCTAAATTAATTATAAAATAATCAACAGCTATGTTTTATTGCAATCATAAGTTTATCTTGTAATAAAAGAGCATTTGTGTGTATGTCACGACAATTAAGATTAATGATGAAGAGATAAAGATTAATCGAGGTATTAATTTTCCGCTTTTCATTATACATACAATTTTTCAAATTCTCCAGCAGACTTTATATTGTACGAGCTATACGGAATTACGGAATAATCTCTTGATTGTTCTCACGTCCGAAAAATAGTCTTCCAATAATATTACTTTCTCCATATTTATTTTACTTGCCTAGTATTTAATTAATTATGAAATTTTATCGAAATATTTATATATACAAGAATTAAATTTAATTGTATAATTTTCAGAATTTGTTTATTATAAAATATTTAATTAATTATAAAATATAATTAATAACTATCCATGCAGCACACAAGTTTGCAGCAATATTGCAACAACATTGCAATATTGCACATCTCATAGCAATATTGCAGAAATATTATATATGCATGAATTTGCAATATAGTTTAAACAACGTTGCAGCAACATTTCAGAAATATTATGAAAATAAAATTCACGCAAAAAATATTAGGTACAGAACATTCCGATCATGTATTTAACACATTTCCAATAATCCAATAGTAATACATATTACAAATTTAATTTATTGCATTATTGTTGCAATGTTATAGAACAATATTTCTGAAAGCGAACATTTTACCGTTGCTGCAACCTTGCAGCAAGATTGCTGCAACATTTCACAATGTTCTCGCAATATTGTAATATTGCAATGAAATGTTGCCACAATGCTGCTGCAATCTTGTTGCGCCGTATGGGTAAGATTTATTTCTAAATTGTCAATAAATAAAGATTAATTGAGAGATATATAATTTTTGAAATTCTCCAATTGATTTCTTGTGTTATTCATAGCAACACGGGGTAATCTCTTAATGATTCTCACGTCCGAAAAACTTTCGAACAATCCGCTAGCACAATCCTATCCGATTTCGTAATCGATTCATGCTCGACTCGAAAATTTCTCGTATAAATAACGAGAGAGCGTTCGTGCGTGCTGTCAAAAGTAGCACGTGTCCTGGAGTCGCGTCATCATCATCATCATCATCATCATCA